GATAGGTAATATTTAGTATAAAAAGGATACCTTAATATCTTTATAAAAATAAATAAATATATATAATACTAAAATAGAGTAAATACTATAATAAGCCTTTAAGGTATAAAGCCTTTATAAGTTTAAAGACTCTTAGTTAAGGATTTCTAAAAAATATATATAATTAGATCTATAAAGAGCTTTTAGATTAGAAAAGTAACCCTAATAGATATAAAGAAAGTATTATAAAAGAAGAAATATACTAATTTATATATATAACTCTTAAAATAGTACTAGCTATAATTAAAAGTATTTAATATAAAGTATATAGAATAATTATTAGACTACTAACTAAGAATAGATTATTATATTTTTTTATAAAAGGATAGTTCTAGTAAAGAAACCTTACCCTTATATAGTTCTTTTTATAATATAAATTAAAAAGAACTTCTTATTTTATAGAAAATACTTATAGATTTACTTAAATAGAATTTTATTTATATTAGTAAATCCTTAGCTATAATACTAGTACTACTAGTTAAGAAGCTAGATAGAGGAATATACTTTTATATAGATTATTATAGTTTAAATAAGATAATAGTTAAGGATTACTACCTACTACCTCTAATTAAAGAAACCCTATAAAATATATTATAAGTATAGTAGTTTATAAAGCTAGATATAATTATAGTATTTTATAAGATTTAGATTAAACCTAAAGAAAAATAGAAAACTATATTTTAAATAAGATATAGGTTATTTAAATAGCTTATAACCCTATTTAGCCTTATAAGAGTACCTATAACCTTTTAATAGTATATTAATTAAATACTTTATAAGTACCTTAATAACTTTATTTTTATATATATAGATAATATTATTATCTACTTAAATAGATTAGTTAAAGACTATTACTAAAAGATAACTAAAGTCTTATAGAAGTTATAAGAGATAGACTTATAATATAATATTAATAAATTAGAATTTAAAAAGAAAATAGTTAAGTATTTAAGGTTTATTATCTATATAGGTATAAATATCTATATAGACTTAATAAAGGTTAAAATAATATATATATAAGAACTACTAAAAATAGCTAAAGATATATAAAGCTTCTTAAGATTTATAAACTTCTATTAGACTTTTATCTTATATTTTATAGACTTAGTAGTCCTATTAATATAGCTAATATATAAAAGAATAAACTTCTATTAGGATATAGCTTATTATAAAGCCTTTATAGATTTAAAAGAATATTTTATTAATATACCTATCTTAATATACTTTAAAAAAAGATATAAAACTATAATAAAAACTAATACCTTTAGATAAGCTACTAAAGGTATATTATTATAAGTATAAGATAATAGAATATTATACCTATATATATACCTTTCTTAAAAGCTATTACTAATAGAAGTAAACTATAAAATATATAATAAAGAGCTCTTTATAATTATATATAGTCTAAAAGAGTAGTATTTAAAACTAAAAATAGTTTTTAAGTTTAAAATTATTACTAATTATAAGAATCTATAATACTTTAAGAAAGTATAAGATCTAAGTAAATACTAGATATAATAGGTAGATATATTAATAGAATTTAATTTTAAGATCTAATATTAGCTTAAGAAGCTAGTTATATACCTAAATACTCTTTTATAAAAAGAATAAGATCTCTTATAAGATAGGAGTAATAAATAAATAATAAATTAATTCTAGTATATCTTCGAAAAAATTAAGATAAAAACTAGATAGTTATAAATAGATATAAAAGCCCCTATAAGCTTTAAGATATCTATTAATATATTTAAGGATAAAGAGCTATAATTACTTTAAGTTAAAGATTAGAAGATAGATATAAGTTATTAGGTAATCTTATAGGCTCTATAAAAAAAGGAATATAGACTCTTAGATAGAATCTAAGTTAAAATAAGTCTTATAGAATACTATCTTAATATATAGGGTCTCTTTTATTTCTAAGACTAAATATAGATCTTAAATAGTAAGCTTTTATAGATATATATTATCTAAAATATATATAATTTATATATTATAAGGTATCTAAGATATAATACTATATATATAATCCTCTTATAATACTTCTTTTAACTAAGAGTAGCTAAGGATATATAATAGTTCTTATAGAACTATATAATTTATAAATAAAGTATAATATAATATAATACTAAGTATAGATTATTAAAGCTATTATTAGTTCTATAATAGATCTAAATAGAAATTTCTATTAATTTTATTATAAATCTCTTTATAAATAGCCCCTAAAAAGCTATAAACTACCTTATTATTATAGATTAGCTTATAAAAAATATTATTCTTATTACTATAGACTCTATTATAAATAATACTATAGCCTAAATATTTATAGATTACTTTTATATATATTATAAGCTCCTACTTATAATTATAAGTGATTATAGCTTTTAATTTATAAGTAATTTCTAAAAAGAAATATATAAAAGACTAAAAATCTAATAATAACTATTAATAGCCTTTTACCCTTAAATAAATAATATAATAGAATAAGTAAATTAGGAGATAGAATAGATCTTATAAGCCTTTATAGCTTATTTATAAGAAGATTAATCCTATCTCCTTTTAATTATAACTATTATAATTAATAATTAAGAGGTATTATTAACTAGTTTAGTACTATTCTTCTTTATATATAGATATTATATTAACCTAATTAGATTAAAAAATAATAAAAACCTTTAAGGTTATAAAAGTAGTCCTAAATAAGTAGATATAGACTTTATAGAATACCTTTATAAAATTTTTAATTAGATATAAGTAATAATAGCTACTACCTAGAATAAATAGTAAGAATAAGTAAACTATATATACTAAGCTATACTAGTCTATTATATAAGAGATAAAGTATAGTTATACCTATAAAATATTATATCCTTATAGCTATTAAAGAAACTAGACTAGTTATATAAAAGGTATACTATTATTAATATTCTATCCTTATATATAATAGAGCTAAGTATCCTATATAGGATTTACCCTATCTTTTATATAGACTTAATATAACCTATAATATTAGATCTCTTCCTTTTTTAGGTTATAGATAATACCTAACCTCTGCTAATTATTATTAATAATAAATTAAAATAGGAAATTAAAGAGATCCTAACTATATATATATAAAGGATTAGGAGAAGTTATTAATAGGAAGTATTAGTAAAATAGGCTAGCTTTATAGAATAAATATAATAAAGGTTAGATAAATTAGAGGATTACGCTATATTAGATATATTTAAGGAATATTATAGGAGTATACGAACAAATAATAGCCCCTAAGGAATATACCTCTACGTATATATAGGTACCCTCTATATATAAACGGATACCGCTAGGAAGAGGGGGGTATTATAATAGGCTAGTACCTAGTTAATATCACATACGCGTACGTGACCTTCCTCGTATCCCCTTTTATTTACATTCGACCCTACCAGCTCCCACTTCTCTCCTTAAGCTTTTAGATAACTATAAACGGCTTAGTTAGTTTGAATTAAGACTGGCTACATCCCTTCACAATAGTTATATTAAAAGTATAATAATAAAATATAACCTTATTACTATTAAGAATATAGGATTACTACTAAGAATTAAACCTTTAGTCCCTTATAATAAAATAGTTATACTAAGTTAGATTTATAGTTTCTAGGCTAAAGTAGGATTTACTTAATATACTACTACTATTATAAGACTAGATATAATAAAAGTAATCTTTAAAGTAGCTAAATTCCTAATAAATCCTAGTCCTAAATATATTAATATTATAGATTATATTATCTAATACCTATATAAAACTAAGTTTTAGGTCTTTAAATATAGAATTAGAAACTATATAATATCTAAAATAGGACTTATAATTACTATAAAATCTATTAAATTTATAAGTAATACTTTATTTAGAGATAACTATAATAGAAAGAGTTTTAAAGATTACCTCTATAAACTATATAGAGGCCCTATAGACTAGAAGGTAATAAAATAGAAGACTATTACTATATCTATTATAGAAATAAAGCTTCTTATATTAGTAGAGATAGATAAGACTATCTAATAATAGTACTAAGTCTTTAAATCCTTAGGTTTTAAACCTAACTATCTACTCTCTATTATATATAATAATTAGTAAACTATTAATTTATTAATAAAGGAGGGAGTAGTAATATATATAAAGCTATAGTATATAGATATTAACTAATACTAGATAAAATAGGAGGTTAGTAAAGGTTAAGTCTATATTAATTAGGTTCTAACTACTAATATATTAGTAGATAGCTTTATAAAGAGCTTACTAAAGTAAAAATAATACCTATTTTAAGTCCTATTAGGTATAAGAGATATTAGTAAGCGGATTAGCTAGGAAAATAGAGGTTAATCCTATAAAACTATAGAGAAATAGAGGAATTAGATAAATTAAAGGATATAATTATCCTAAAACTAAGAGAAAAGGTAGTTCTTAAAGGCTATAAATACCTTTAAAAACTAGGGGGTATATTAAAAGCTATATTATAATATATAACTAGGAACCTAAGTATTTAATACCTCGGAAAATACATAGAACGCTATAATAGTGGGCCCTATATAAATTGCATATTAAGCTTAGTTAGTTATAACCTAGCAAATTGTCAAATAGGGGATTCTTATCATTTTAGTCAGTTAGAGTCATACATATCTGTCATTTTGACCATACATTGCTATACCGGTGATTTCCGTCACTAAAGTACTGGGAGCAAACAGTGACGGTCACGTGACCTTCCAACAGAAAGACAAGTTGCAGATATCGTTAGATATACATGATGGGCGTGCATTCCACGTGGTGTAAACACATGACGTAATCAAGTGCCCTTCCCCGCAGTTCTTATCATTTGAGCATCTCCGCTTGTTCGGTTATCTTAGCCAAGACCTTCCCGGATTCCCAACATTTACTCCTTTTGTGTCAACCTCGTTGATTGTCCCGAAATGATAACTGTACAAATATGCCGCCAAAACGTGAGCGCACAGTTCAAGGCTCATGTTGGCCCTGCAAACAACGCCGGGTGAAATGCGATCTAGGGAAGCCCTTGTGCCAGAGATGTGTCTCGTCTGGGGCAAAGTGTTGCTACGACAAGCTTTTGATCAGGTGGAAAAAGAATCCGCCAACAGCACAAAGCCTATCCATCTATAAATCCCCATTTATGAACATCAATGTGCACTCAAAAGACAGCGCCTTGGCCATTGGAGATCTTAAGGCCCTTGAATACTTTCAATTCGCAGTATGGCCTCTTTTTACCACTGCCGCTCATCCTTGCCCACCCCCCATACCTCTAGCTATGGAATTTGAACCGGTACTTCTGGCTGTGTGTGAATTGGCTGAGGCACATCGCATACTGCAGGACAAGGCTGTGAGTAGCACGGTGAGCGCACCGTTTGATAAAAGAATGAGCTGCCTGGCTTCAGTCCGGGAACAGCTTCGAGATAATAATTCCAATCACACATCACTTTCGCCTCTGTTGGTGGCAGTCTTTTTGCTCTACTTTCTGGACGGCTTTATTGAATGTGATCCCCAATCTGCATCGACGTCAAGTCACCACGTGGGCGTCCAAGCGATTGTTGATCATCTCGGAGGATTCACAGCTCTTATAAAAATGGGCCAAAAGGACATCACTATGCTACTATCAGAGTTTGCATCTACGGACCTAACAAAGGCTCTGCTGGATGATCGACCGCCTTGCTTCCCCGCTGAAATCTGGACACAGATAGAGCACGGGACAGTGTGGTGGGACCAAGAAACATACGACGGCACAACACTAGCATCGGTGTTTAGAATAATGGCAGATATGTGCTTATATCGCCATCAAATCAGAGGAGACCCGGAGACAATTTCAATGGAAGTTGTGCGAGATTTTGAGCGGTGTCTACAGCCGTCATTCCAGACTCTCAACTTCGACTACATCAAAAGCCCCAATACATATACTGTGCATGAATCGACACTTGAACCCAGGATGCAAGCGGATTCTTTCACGCGCGCTTTTCAACATAGTGCTCTCGTCTACCTCTACCGAGCAATCTGTGGCCTTCCACCAAGACATTCTATGGTACAGCAGCATGTTCAGTCTTGTGTGGAGTGCATCAGAAACATCTCGCCTCTTTCTAAGGCTCATAACTGTATAATATTTCCATTGTACATCATGGGTGCCCACACATTCCTGCAAGATCAGCAAGCATTTGTCTTGGAGAGACTTGATTCTATATACAAATATCTACGCTTTAACTCTGTGCTATTAGTTCGTACAGCGTTAGAGGAATTATGGAAGTCACCGCGGCATAATGGGGATTGGTGGGATATGTTTAGATCTCTAGGTGAACATGTGCTTGTGATTTAGCTGGGACTGTTATTATTACGAATATCATGTATTAATGACATTTTTCAAGGTTGCCTGCCTTCTAGGCTTATGGTTTACTTGGACACGGGGCTTGTCCGAAACGCCAATAAAGGCTTAGTTCGAATGACCTCGGATCCTAACTACCTTCCTAGCCTGGAGCCTTGGATATGCGGGGGTGAGATTATCCAGAATAGCTCTGCCTATATTTGACGCGAGTGATAAAGCCCTGCTGCCACGACCCATTTGACTATCATCGCTGTGCATATTCTTTGACATTTTCACCACACAGAATGAATATATCATCTGAACAGTCTCCTTTCGATGGCGAGTTTGATGCTCTTGTAAAAGAGCAATTGGAAAAATGGAAAGTCCCCGGCTTGAGTATCGCGATTATTCATGGCCCAAGTACCTACACTAAGGTAACTTCATAAAATTTCTTGATGTATCGAATACTCACAGAGTACAGGCATATGGAAAGGCAGAACTGCCAAACGAAAGCACAGATCGACAACCCCGGGAGATGACAACCGATGCATTGTTCTCAACATGTAGCACTACCAAAGCTTTCACCAGTGCTGCGACATCCATATTAATCCAGGATAGTAAGGCCACCGAGTCCCCGATTGACTGGGACACGCCAGTGGCTTCCCTAATTCCAGAAGACTTTATTCTGGAGAACGAGTATGCGACCAATAACATTACACTTGAAGATGCGCTATCGCATCGGTCAGGTATGCCAGAGCACAACTGGACCCTTGCTCTATTCTCAAAGCAGGACGCAACGCCGGGCTCCGCAGTCCGCGCGATGCGCTACATGCCCCTCGCGACGCCTCCACGCACTAAATACCACTACAGCAATTACATGTACATAGCTGTGTCTCAAGCGTTGGAGCAGCACACTGGTGAAGCCCTCGGAGCTTTTATGAAGAAACGCATCTGGGACCCGCTCGGTATGAGCGAAACGTTCTTCTCGCCAAGCGAAGCAAAAGTAAATCCAGCAACAGCCGCAAGGCTTGTACAAGCATACGACTGGGTTCCTACAAAGGAAGGCGGACATTTTATGCCAAAGTCAGAGAATGACTGGCTAGCAAACAGCGGTGCTGGTGCAATCGTCAGTAACGTTCTCGACTACTCCCATTGGGTGCGAGAGTTGATTGAACGAACCGGGCCATTAAAAGGACACGACAGCTTAACAGATCCGCGGACGATATATTTCCAGAACGATGACTTGAATTTGCCGGCTCCGTACCATGCGTATGCCCTCGGATGGGTCGTGGATAACTATCGCGGCCAGCATTTGTATAGCCATGGCGGTGGCTGGCCTGGATACGCGAACTGGGTGGGCTTCGTCCCCGAGAAAAAATTTGGATTTGTGGTTATGGGCAATTCTTTCTCGGCTCGATATGCTGCATTTAGATTGGTCACTTATCTTTTGGATAGGCGGCTTGGTTTATCGGATGATCCTAAATATGAGGAGCAGATTGCTGCTTGTATTGCGAGACAAACTGAAACATGGGAGTCGCATCTTAAAAATGAAGACATAACGGACTCGAAGAAACGGTTATTCTCTTCTTTACCTGATCCCCCGATTCCATGTGCGTTGCATATGTCTGGATATACTGGAACATACAGACACCCCACGGGTGCGGCTTTGACTGTCAAGATAATCAATGATGGACTTATAGCTGACCTGCAGGATCGAGTCATTCCGTGTGAATTGCGTCTTGTTCATGCAAGCGGTGAATTTTTCGTGGGTAGCATCCAGAGTGGAGGCCTCAGCTTAGTGCTGCCCTTCCCAGTGGAATTCTACATTGCTGCTACAGGTCTGGCTCAAAGAGTTGGACTTCTCTTAGAGCCTGCGATGAAGGGAGAAAAGCTCTGGTTTGATCGTTGTGGTTCATAGAGTTATATGTTGCTGTGCAAGAGACATAAGGAGAACGAAAAGGGATCTGATACATAATACAAATCTTAATCCTTGCGCAGCGTTGCCATTTCTCGCTACTGATGCATTGAAGATGGTAATTTGAATCAACCATAGGACTAGTACTCTGATCTCCAAATTACCAACTCGTCAACCCCTTCACCCGATCAAACCCACCCCTCAACTGTGACTCTGGGTGCACAACCTTCCCCTGCAGAACAGTGTACTTAACAATGCCCTCGCAATGCTCAGGTCGTACACGCGCAAGCCAAATCATCTGCTGATCCTTCTTGCGATAAATCAAAACATTCGCAGAGAACTTGTGTCCGCCGACATGCGACACGAAGAAGATCCCCACCCCGCCAGCCCGGGAGTCATCTGCATCTCGGTCTAGTCCTAGCGGACGGAGATGTCGCTCCAGCTCGCGCTTAATGAGTGGTGCTGTAATACCACAGCGCGCGTCTCGGCGTCCGTGTGAGCACAGTAGTATCACGTAGTCAAGTTCACAGGATCGAGCGCTCATCCCATTTGCGGGAGAAATGGTACTGTTTCCATTTCGATGGTCGGTGGGGTGGTCGATGTATCTGGATATCAGGTCTGGAACATCTGTTTGTGTGACAGAGTCAACGAATGTGAATGATGGTAGAATCAGCACTGTGGTGGCTTCTTTGGTATTTCCGTCTGTGATTGGTTCTTCTGGAGGAGTGAGATTTGATGCCAAGACGGTAATGCGCTGCGTCAAGTATTAGCTGAGGTAGGCTAGATGTGAGTTTGAGAGCTTACACCATGGTCTGATTTTGCCTCGTCCAACGCTTCCATTAAGCTTCCTTTCATATTTTCGACATGCTTTTCCTTCCAGTCGGATTGTCCCGTCGCCACAAGAACGTGGGCGTGAAATTCTTTAATTTCACCATAAAGAGGTTTTGAGGTCTCGACTTTTACTTTTGATGGAAATTTTACGGTGCAGTCGGCGCAGTCCTCTAAACATTCGGGGCCGTCCACCTTGGGATCCACTTTGGGGAAGAGGTAGGCGTTGGTGCCTGTGCGGCCCAAAGAAAGCAAGGAACGCAACATGGTTGAAGGGGTGATAATGTGTGAAGGCCAAGTTGAAAGGTGAAAGCTGAGTCTAGGAGGTGTTTCTCAAATTGAAGGTTACCTGGAGACCTGGAGATAGATATAGAGAAAGACTCCAGTATCTCCGAGCTATGCCCCGAGCCGAGTCGGGTCAAAAAGCCCGAATCCCGAGCTCCCAGGGTTATCTCCAGACTAGGATCTTTAATGTTAAGTGGATATCATTCATTCCAGACCCCATTTTATCTTGCGGCTAGTTTTTTTAGCCTAACTCTGTGGTAACTGGCAGCCACTTAGCGTCCATGTATTTGACCTACACCTACATTTTACACCACGTTACATAAAGCATTTAAAAAGAGAACCAAAAAGACTAACTAAAAATATTTCATAGGGCCACAAATGCGGCTGACTATTCTTGTACTCAACATACATCAGCCTCAACTTTAGCCATGTCTTCGCAAAATAGCCCACACTAAACACTCTGTGGCATTGCGAAACCAAAAATTATATAAACACCGTAACCTTTGCTTCTTATATATCGCATCAAAGTTTTTGTTTAGAGCGATGGGAGTGTGAAAACTTTCGGCTATCAAAGTAAGCTGGTGTGACGGACTTCGAGAGCCGATCAAATGTCGGCGTCGGTGTTTCTAGGCAAGGCTCACATAGTCCCATTCTGTGAGTGACAATCAGATGAAACAACCATCTGTGCGCGGAGTACTACATGGTTCCTCGCACGAATATTGCAAGAAAATCAAGGGAATCAGGTCTTATAAACGCGTACAACATATAGTGGCAGTGATCATGGCTATTCTCGTGATTCGGAACCTGACCAGCATCGGGATTATCCCGTATACTTACCCATTCCCGATGCTTGGATAATTACCGGTGGGTCTTGAAAGGTTTGTATATTGTAGCCCCTAAGGGTAAAGGCAGGAGGATATACCCCTGTCAATGCCAAGTATATAAGTGCTGGCGAACCTCTTGGCGCGGGTCTGGTGTGTTCGCGGAACGTTCGGGACATCGATTTTGTGGGTCTGGAAGAGTAGACTCCCAAGAGAATGTGAAGGATGTCCTAAAGAAACAGAAAAGGAAGAGAAATTCCCCATTCTTTCGTCATTCGAGCGAGGCATAGAGAAAAGAAAAAGGGAAAACAATTAAAAAAAGAAAAGAAAAGAAAACGCGACGTCGGTCAGACTTTCCGCATTTGGCGGTTCCACGGGCGCAGAGCGGGACCACGTAAGCCGAAGTTGGAGCCAATTCCCACGAGACTTTCCCAACATCTCGGACGTAAGATCTTTCCTAAGTATAAGCTCGTCTACAATACCGAGAACATGGATGTTCAAGTGAATGCCCAGCCCGATCGCGTGCGCAAGCGCCGCCGCCGCACAATGGCGTGCACGCAGTGTCGCACGCGCAAGTTACGATGCGATCGCGAGTATCCTAGTTGCAGTCGCTGTTTGAAGAGCAGAGCCCCGGGTAAATGCACATATGAAGATGGGTTCTTATGGCAGCAGCCTACCACAGTCACAAATACTGCATTTGCCTCCGACCGAGGGTCTATGGTATCTATGCCCCGAGATACCCCAGTCGACACGCCCCCGGATTCGGGGATACCGACGGGGTCAACTCGGACGGAAACTTTCCCACATAGTGAACCACCTCGCAGGGCTATGGCTGGCGGTCCCATGCATCACGAGTATCATGGTCTTACGGGCCATGCTCTTGCACCGCCATACAGAGGCCGGCCTCACGACAGAGAGCGAAAGGACAGTTTTTTGGAAACAGTTCTCGGTGCTCCTAAGGCTGCTGTTAATCAAGAACCTTATGTGAACATGGGTATTTTACATCGCCCTAAGCGCCCGGCGCCTGCGTCGGAGCAAGGTATGCAAGCAGCGTCGCAGGTCGACGAGGGGCACATTGAGGAAGAAGAGGACCCCTTGTCGCCTACGGATCAGCTTGACCTCGCTCCTCGCATGATGATGAGGGGCCGTGAAACTAAAACGCGGTTTAGTGGATCGGGCATATTTGCTAGTCTAGTAGCACAGGTCTGCTCCCCGCCCTTTAGATTCCTATTGCCAGCATTGGCAATCGAGAGATTGAAGCTGACACATCCTTAGTTTCCGGATATAAAACCATTTGCAGAGGAGATCAGGGTTTCTACCCCGATTTTCGCGCAACTTCAGCCGGACCTCAGAAGGGTTAAGGGTGGGCTATTCAAACTTATGGTGCTCACTCGACCCTTTCCCGACCCTACTACCGCTTCGCTAATTAACATGCTGCCCTCGCGTGCTGTGGTTGATGAGCTGGTTGGGTTGTATATCACTTATATCGAGTCCACTCACCGCATTCTCCATGTTCCATCCTTCTTACGAGAGCTTGACCAATTCTGGACCATGTTAGACAGCCCGGCCTCAATATCTGCTGCCTTTGCAGTTCAGCTACTGTTGGTCCTTGCCTGTGCATGGAACCTTGCAGACCTTCCTAGCCTGCAGTCAAAAAGTACGGGCGAACTCAAGTGCCAGTCTGCACTGGAGTGGACTCTGCACGCAGGAAAATGGATCGAAAATCTCCACACCAAGCGTCCCGAGATTACATCCCTACGACTCTCTATTCTATTGATTTTGGCGCATAACTCTCACGGAATGAGACGCAGCCAGGCTTGGCTTACAACAAGTACATTAGTCAAGCAAGCAATGATGGCAGGCTATCACCGCGACCCAAGCCGTTACACACGGATCTCTGTATTTAACAAAGAGATGCGACGGCGAATCTGGACAACTATTGTGGAACTGGACCTGCAAATTGCGCTTGACCGGGGAATGCCCCCGTCAGTACAAACCTTTGACTATGATGCGGCTCCGGGGCTCAACATTTTCGACCACGAGATCCACGAGAACAGCACTGAAGTTCCCGAAAGCCGGCCACTGAGTGAAGCTACCGACTCTTCGTTCCAGTCTATCCTGAGTCGCTCACTACCTCTCCGGCTTCAAGCATGTTCTCTCATGCACTCTCCACGGATCAGCTGTCGATATGAGGATATTCAGCGCCTGGACGCCGAGCTCACTCGGCATCTTTCTCAGATTCCTGCGTGGGTGACAGCTGACACCAACGATATCGTCACCCAACATAAAGTAATACTATGGAAAGGGTTGATTGAGACCAAACTTTGCCAGTCTCTATTGTCTGTTCACACCCCTTTCGCCATCGAAGCACGGCGAGAATCACTTTTTGTGCCCTCCGCGCGTACCCGCATGGATGCTGCAACCCGAATACTGTCAACCCAGCGCCGGTTACACGAGATTTCGCGAACGCTATCGCTATGTATGCTTGGTGAATGGAGCATCCAAGCCTACATTTCCATCTGCCAATTGCTACACAGACCCCAGTTCGACACCCGTAAGTATTTCCTGCGATTCAATACTTGACCATGAGATCCCAAACTCATACTGTGCAGCTTCTCCCTCCCATCCCATCTCATCAACCTTTATTCTCCACAATATACCCGGTATCCCCGAGTCGCTCCTATCGCTCGTAGAAACAACCTTGATCGCCTTCGAAGAGCGCTCCCTTTTGATGACCAAGGGAGCAAAGGACTACTCTTTTCTCTCAACGATTGTCGCACTAGTCAAATCCCGAATCTGGCCGGCACAGGCAACCATGTACAAGCAGCAGGCTGTCGAGCGGGTGCTATCATTTGCGCAAATTCTCTTCTCTCGGCACATGAACTGCGACCACCTCGGCGACAAGGGAATGGGGAATTTTAAAAACAACCAGCTGGCTGCATTTATGGCGGCTCCAACCATGGTTCCTGTTATGCAGCCCGAATTTGATCCCAATGGGATGCACCCGCCACCGCAACCCCACGCGATAGTAAGTTGCACGTTGTTCTTGGTCCTCGCTTCTTTTGTGCTAACTATGAGTTTTCAGCCACCTGCCGAGTTTGACCCGTTCTTGGAGATCTTCGATTGGGAGGATCTGACAAGCATGACGTTTCCCTGTTGAGCAGAGCAGTACGAGCAGGTTTTGACCCTTTATACGGACACCGTACGATATACATCTGATGTTTCTGCATTTGCTATGTCCAGCCCCTACCATTGTACATACTTGGCCTTGCTCACGGAATACACATAGTAAATGTCAAGAAACCTAGTTATCGCAATGCGGTGATTCACATCTTGTTGCGTAATCATGAATGTTATCAATCGGTCGGATCCACCATGAGATCATGATCGGAGATATCAGGATTGACGGCATGCAAGGGGTGCATATCAGAATAAAGAGAAAGGACAATGCCGCACTTAGCTCGGATTCTTATTTGCACCCTTACTCGTACTGCCGAATATGGGCCTAATTTTCTCTACCTTTGATAGTTGTGTGTTGCCATTTTTAGAGCGCCTTGCCTAATAGCGTGAAATAGCACTGGGTATAGATCGTCATTCTAGCTATGTGGGGACGATGTTCAATACCCAACCAGCCTCGCAGATCGAGGTCCAAGGCCGATGCTGGATATGCACAACCTTTGTACGTCATATCGCGGTGCCTTTGCAAGAATACTATCAAAACCAAGAGATTTGGGCAATATAAACAATGAAATAAACATATAGTCAGGTAAAGTCACTTTAATGAAAGCCAATCGGAGCGGACCCTGTGCCCTGAGACAAGGTTGTGGGTCTAGTACCTGACGGTACCTCCCACAAAGCATAAAATGGCCTTGGACATAGGTACCCTCAGGTACCGTTCCAAATATAGCAGCCTAAATCCCCCCTAAAACACTTGGCTTTGGAACTAACTTGAGGCTCGAAGACTGTGCTTCTGCTTCTTTTCTTTTCTTTTTTCTCCTTGCATATTTATACCATGTGTTTCCCCCTCGCTTGCTTCAATTCTCCTCTCTCCGCTTCTACCCCACCTACCCTCTTCCCCTTTTCACTGCCTTGACTACTCGAATATCCATCAATTGGAGAGAGGAGAATAGCCATGTGTATCACGATCTGATAACACCCAATCCTCCGGCCAGCCAGAACAATCCCCTCATATAATCTCTGCATCCGCAAATCACACATACTCCTATGTACATAACTACCCCAAGATGCATCACCTCCAACTCCTATCAATAATCCTCGCCATCGCAACCCCACTGGCGGGGTCCGTCCCAGCCCAACCCCAAGCCCGGGATCAAAACGCACCACAAGTATACAAAACAACAGACAATTTCCCACTCGCAAACCCAGGAAACATCGCAGCCCACGACCCAAACATCATCCTGCACGACGAGCACTACTACCTCTTCAAAGGCGGGATCAACATCCCAATCTTCAAGGCAGCCAACATATCCGGCCCATGGGAACAGCTCGGCACAGTTCTTGCTGGCGACAGCATAATCCCAAAAGACAACCGGTCACGACCATGGGCACCAACCACAATCGAAAAAAACGGCACATTCTACTGCTACTACACGCTGAGCACGAGAGGGTCCCGCAACAGCGCGATTGGCGTCGCAACGACTACAGCCCTAGATGGCAGCCCCTGGACCGACCACGGCGTTGTCATTAACACGGGCAAGGGCACTGGTTCTGGGGTGTGGCCGTATACGATCACTAACGCTATCGATGCGTCTTTCATCATTGACCAGGACTCTGGCCAGGCGTATCTCAATTACGGAAGCTTCTGGCAGGATATATGGCAGGTCCCGCTGGCGAATGATCTCCTTTCTGTCAAGGATGCGGGCAAGCCAGATGCGGTGCAGTTGACGTTTATCCCACATGCGGACTCTAAGCCCGAGGAAGGCTCGTGGATGAGCTTTCGAGAGGGGTACTATTATGCTTGGTTTAGTCATGGGAATTGTTGTAACTTCAAGGACGGGTTCCCCGCGCGTGGGAAGGAGTATAGTATTCGCGTCGGGAGGTCGAAGAGTGTGCGTGGTCCTTTTCAGGATAGGGAGGGGAAATCGTTGCTTGATGGTGGTGGCACGGTGGTTTATGGCTCTAATCATGGGGTTGTGTATGCACCTGGTGGCCTGGGTGTCTTGGCTGGGAAGAATACTTCCGTGCCGGATATTCTCTACTATCATTATTTGAATACGTCAATTGGGTTTAAGCATGGGGTGGGTCTTTGTTTTCGTCATTTTTGGAGTTAAAATTCGAACTGACTGTTCTCGCAGCAAGCTCGGCTCGGCTGGAGCTATTTGGACTATGAGGATGGGTGGCCGGTGCCTGCTGGAGGCCGAAATGCCACAATCAATGCTGCCTTCATTTATGGACCTCGAGTTCCTAGCTGGGGTTATCTAGTAGTCATTTTTGGTAGGAGAAGTTCCAATTTTCATGTGTCTTATGCTAATATCTGACCTTTAGGTTTATTGCTGTGCATATGGTCATAGCGTTGTTTCTGCCCTGTTTTCTTGCATTGATACCCTTATGCTCCTTTCTTCGTGTTTTTCAGTGGTTGTACACATATCATGGCGGTGGCTTTTGATCGGATCCCAACATTATGTCTATCATCTAGCGAGAATTTCATTCCGTTCAACATCATCAATGCATGTCATTGGCATATAAAGCCATAGCGCTAAACCGAATAATTCATGTCCTCGCCCTCATCATATGCCCTTGAAAACACAAACTTACTCCCAACCACCATCAACACTGAGAATCTGTCCAGTCGTATACGACGAAGCATCACTGAGCAAGAAAACAACGGTCTGAGCAACCTCCTCCCCCGTCCCAATGCGCGGGATACTAACCGGCGGAATACTAATCCCGCCCTGGATTTCCTTCGCCATCTCAAGCAAAGGCGTCTGAATCGAACCACTAACACAACCTAATTAGTCGAATCCATCAAACCCAAAAACAAATACTCACGGTGCAACAGCATTGACCCTAATCGTGGGCCCAACCTCCTTCGAAACAGACTTCGTCAACCCAGAAACAGCATGCTTCGTAGTCGAATAAGCAGCATGCAACGCAAACCCTTTCAAACCCTGGATACTCGATGCATTAACAATACTGCCCTTTCCCCCAGGTGCAGTCGCCATAATCGCCTTAAGCTGCGCGCGCAGACAGTACATCAACCCGGTGACATTGACACGCATCAACATATCCCACTCGGCGTCATCCTGGTCGACGAATTTGCCAGTACCGTGCTGCTTGCCAATCGTGCCGGCCATGTTGGCGGCGCCGTCCAATCGCCCGAAGTGCGAGACTGTGTTAGCGATCCAGTCTTGAACGGCGGCCACATTGCTAATGTCCAATGCGGTTGTTGTGATTGTCGAGGCTGTTGAAGAACCGAATTCGGCTTCGATTGTCTGTCGCGCTGTGGAGAGGACCTTTTCGCTTAGGTCTGCGAGGGAGAGGAGGGCTCCTTGGGAGTGTAGTTGGCGTGCGACGGCTAGTCCGATTCCGCCGAGGCCAGTTATGGCGTACACTCTGCCCTTAACGGTGTCCATTTTTGGAATGGTTTTGTTGGTCATTGGTTTGTTTTGGAGGGTATTGGGGTATGTGATGAATTGGGAGAGTAGCCTTTATTGGTCGCACATGTGGGATCCATGGATGTGACGGTGTCTTTGAATCATGGCGGGGATAACGTGGGGTCGGAAATGCTCCGTGGCTAATCTGGGGACATGCCCGGGTATATTCGAGTTGCATTGTAGATAATTATAGATAATAGCCTAAATGGTGTAATTCAGGCATTTCGGACACCCGTCTCCCCCTGAGCCCCATTTCTGTATAATTGAATTATATACTCCTTCACTGCCAGTATATCGGGTATCATCTGCCAGTGCGTCTCCAGGCCTAAATATTGGAGTTAAAGACTCGCATCTTATGCACGCGAACAAGTTTGGCTGGAATTCGGATGAAAGACGTGTTAGATGAAGTCAGAAGTTCCTCTGCCAGAGCTATTTGCAATTTAATGAATGATTGTGTCACGGTATTCTCCTTTCCTCTGTTGGAAATATCATTAATTCTCATCACTTGTGGAATATTGCAAATTCATTCGGATCGAATGTTTGACAAACTACTTTGCTTCACGCAGGCTCGCGGCTATATGGAGTTCGGGTCATTGGATACTCTGTGGCGTATGCTGGAGTGGCTTGCATTATGAGGGTGGAAGCGCTTATTTATTCGACACGCCAATGCATCATCAGTTGCTTGTTATTGCCAAGCTCATTGGGGGGTTGCCAAGAAATCCATATTTCCAGGGCTTGAACATCCCAAATAGGTAATTGGTATAGAGAAGAATATCTCGAGTCTGAGTGTTTCATGTAATAAGCGTGCATGAAACGAAGCTCTCGGATCCGCGCATTGGTTTGAGTCATATTAATAAATATATCCCCGAGAAGGTTCTTGCATGTATTGTTGGCTTTATAGCAATATGTACAGCAATATGTTCACATCTCATCAAACCAACTCCATAAATCACAAATGGGTATCTCAAAATGCAACAAAATCAAACCCCTCCAATCACATCAAGTAAACATCCCTGACAGAAGCATTGCGCCGATCATCAAAGACACCCAGCCCACAGCCGGACGCCTGATTGCCCCCGAATTCTTCTCCAGTTTGGTTCCATGTACAACCTGTTGAGCATTCAAGCAGTACATGACTTTCCTCGCCTCGGCCGAAGTCGTCGAATCACAGACCGCCGTACAAGGGTCCGGATCTTCAGTAATCCATACTCCATTCGAACAGCAGGACTGCAAAACAGCCTTCATATCTCTGTGGTTGTTTTTTGTCTGGTACAGCGGGACCTGATTATAATAGTCGATATTGGCGGGCATGGCAGAGACCGCATCGCGCGAGTTGTAGCATTCAGCCGGCTGTGTGAATTGCGTGCTGTTGGAATTGCTCGTTATGGGAGGTGTCATGGTGATTTGCGCTTGCCGGGTGATCCGGTCCGGGATATTTCGCGACGCGACGCGAGAACACGATTTTAGCTGTTATTTAGGACGTGGATGATGTGCAGTCGATCGCGGTTCGTGGAGAGAGAGGTGTATCAATGGAGAGGGACGGGATAGTTAGGAGATAATTATAGGGAAAGAAAAGCCAGGGATTCTTAAGGGCATATGAAAAATCACGATGTTCCCAAGGCCTCTTTTTAGGTAACTCCTGAACACGGGGGGAAAGTGCCAAGCCCGTATTGCCGTATGTTGGGGATATTGGCCTGAGAAGTGGAGTCGGCGGCCTAAGCATTCAGCTACAGGGATGGACTCATTCGTCGATCCTTCTTGGCTCTATTGGTCTATTTAATATGGGTAAGTGGTACTAACGTGAGACAAATAGGGAAAGTGGAAACTGATAATTCGATTTCTCCTTGCTTAGCAACTTATTTGTGATATATGTTGCACGTCTTTCTATCTATCTAAGGAGTATGGAGTACTCCTTGAACCCCCCTCGAAGGCAGTAACCCTTACGGTCAGATTTACAATCGAGCGGTTTGATTGGCTCGCCGCCACATTTTCTTCCTGCGCACATGGCCTTCGTTGAAATCATCAAGCCATTTCTGCTCGAACCGAGGTAGGCGCCGTCCAACGCCACCATGAGGTTCTCCCGCAAGTTCGCGGAGGCTCTCGAAGTAGGGCTCGAATTCTGGGTTGAGGACTGTGAATCCGGGGCCATCGCTCTTTTGTGCAATACGGTCGGTTTCCCATTTTTCCTGCTCGGCGATCGAGGGCAGGTTCACTTTGCCGGCTAAAACGCGTGCGGCAGCGACGGCTTGCCATTCGAAGACTTTGAAAGTCAACCCAGCACCAACCTAAGGGTATTTATTAGCTTTCTATCGGGGTAGAGAAAAGAAACTTCAGCTCGATAGACTCACAGCGCCGACAAAAACCAGCGAAGGATCATGTTTATAAAAGACGTGCTGGTAGAGATCCGGCACACGATTGTTCCGCGTGGCAACCTGAGGCAAGAAAGGCAGAGTCCAGCTGAATCCAGTCCCAAAAATCAAATGGTCGACACCGGTTTCAGAGGTTCCATCTTCGAAATGCACAGTCCGTTCGCCTTGATCATTACTAGTAATGCGTGAGATGGGCGGGCGACGTTGGATCTTAGGATGCTGGAAAGCGAGATCTCCGAAATAGGCGTTGTAACGACCACGCACGACAGCAATGACTGGTGTCTGGGCACTATCAACTAGGCTCACTGCTGTATCAGCGGCAGAAACAGACGCCCCGATGGTGATGACTTTCTGCGATGTGTAAGCGGGTGGCAGAATGACATGATGGAAACTTCATTTACCTTTCCCTGGTATTTCTGAGGGCCCCGGTAATGCTTTGTATGTTCAACACTACCGGGATATCTCGCAGCAAACTCCTTCAAACCGGGAATCACAGGAATGAAAGGCACTGCGTAGTGGCCCGAAGCCACCACAACTGCATCATACTCCTCAGACCACCAGTAATCTGACTTGGCACCGTCCAAAACTTCCGTCCTGCGGAATGTAAGAATCCATTTCTGGCTGCTGGAATCTTTGATCGCACGTTCAACAGTAGTGTTGTACTGAACAAGATCCTGATACCCATTCCGGTTAAACAAGTCCTCAATATATTTTCGGATGACCGAATGGTGCCGGAAAGGCGTATCTGCGCCATGACGCTCGATCGACCATTGCGATCGAACTGTAGGAATCTCCTCTTGGGAGAACGACATGGCTCCTGCATTCACATTGGTCTCCAGTGTCGGGTACACGGGTGAGTCCGTGAACCGGTCCTGTGAGACTACAGGCGTCCGGCACGGAAGGTGCTCGGGAATTTTGAGAGGTGCATCTGCTGTTCGTGCAGATAGACCATCAAAGTCGAACTGCTGTGGCGGCTCGTCATCTCTTGATACCCTATTGTTCGTTAGTTTGGAATTGGGTAAATATATTAGAAACATAAACATACCAGCATCCGCCGGCTTTCTCCTGTCTCTCAAATACACGGATGACATCAAATGCTTTCTCCTGTGCTAGTGCATCGACTGCAATGGCACCAGCAGGGCCGGCCCCGATGATGGCTATGCTTTTGATTTGGGTCATGGTGTGATATTATGGATGTTTGGTGAGAGTTGGGTATATAGCCGCTCTTTAAAGTCAAAATTTATTTCGGCCGAGCACTCATAAAATTAGGAATACCTTGGGAGCAATGGTTTGCCTCTATCACGCCATCCGACTCTGTTTTAGCGCAAATTTGACATCGGCAGCCAATGAGGGCTCCGGATATGATATGTGAGATAGGGAGTCTGACTCACGGTATATAAATGACAATGGATTTCTTTTCTGTAATTTAATGCCAAAAAAAACGTTCCAGACACTCGAAACTGAAAGTTTCTATCTTCATCCCATCGACCTGGCATCTCGGCCATTGATCTGATTGGCTTTCGGCATTTGAAGTTTTACAATGTGTGGATAACCCGGGGTTCTTCAGGAACTGCATCCTGATTGGCTGAAAGTTTCTGCCTTGGGATTACGGCCACTAAATATCTCCGAGATGCCGAGATGTCGAGAGGATCACGATAGCTCTACTTCAGCAGTTTGTGATGGGATTGATACATTATTAATTAATCTTCCGACTATTCGATTCACATAGCACATTCTGAGCATCAATGCCGCCTGTCGAGTGTGCCGGTTAATTGATGAATTGCCAAAGGCTACGATGGAAGATTTGATCTATGCAGAAATTCGCAACAGTATCGGGAATTGTCAGGAGGGGGGGTGATTTTGGAAGGGCCCTGAACTCCTTTTATACCTATGGATGGCGGTTTATATTTGATATCGGCAGTCTCGGCGTATTAATAAAATCTTCTTTCGGGTGCAGTTCTAGCTAATCATTCAGTAAATAAAGTTGTTTCCGCAAAGCTCGATTTGATACCTTTATATCTACTGATCATGTCCAAACTCTGGGACCATGAATCCAAACAAAGTTTGAATATTATATGGGGTTGTCCTCGGATTCTCGGGCGCACCATGCAAGGTCGTCTCTGGCGTTATGGGGTAGTATAGGAAGTCCCTTGGTGACCACGATTCTATCATATCATGCTGTAACCCAACGGCAGTGTTATCATTGTTTGTTTCACTTGGCTGCATGGAAACCTGATGAAGGTTAGCAACAGAACAATCGTATCTCACATTTCAAAACGATGGTTTACCTCGGTGTCAACAGGTGGGAATCCAGTAATCGACGAGCCCAGCTCAGTGGGTTCTTGCTGTGGAGGTCGCAATTGATTAACGTCAAAGTCCCTGACAAACTGCCGTGCGATATGTGCAAATTCGGTGAGAATTGACCCGGGCAAGAATCCTCCAGACTTGTAATCTAACAGACTGAAGTGGCCAGCTGCTACATCCAGCAACGCCAGGTTACTGCGGGTTTCCGGGTGTGTTGGATTATGGACTACAAAATCAAATAGGATAAATAGAGCTGCAAGAGGTAAAACGGCCAGGATGCTATATCACAAGTCAGCTTCCGACTTAGCACAAACGTCAGACACTACGTCTCTCTTCCACCACGGAGAGACATCGGGAGGTAACGTTACTTACAAATTTGGCGTGTAGGCAGCTATGTCGACATTCTTGCTTCCTTCCACGACTGCTCTTGCGGTATCCATGAGTAATCGTTTGCTCTTTTCCTGTCTGCGGGACTGGGTTTGTCTGCTTATGTTGATATCAAGCCTCGCTAGGGCGATGATTAAAGCGTAGTAGGAGAAGTTGATATGGAGAACGATCATTTTGATGCTCGGCTGCGTGAAGGAAGAAGACAGGGAGTGCGAGTCATGAAGTGGCATCCCAGGTCGAAAGCCCACAGGCACCGCTGTTCGCCATTTCTTTAGCCGAGCATCAATCTCATCGATCATGACATGGTGCGCCTCAGTGCTTTGAAAAGCGGCACTGACTGAGAAGAGACATGTATATGCCTGCGAGAGAATCCGACCAAGCGTAATGGCTGACAGAAACCAATTGAACTCCCCGAAGACAGATTCTGGGACGTCGGGAATTGGACAACCGATATCATAGTCCGAGATCATCTGATTCAATGTCAACACCATTTTGACTATTGCTTCTAGTTACTTACTGAGCTTTTGTTGCCGTGGAAAGACATTTGCTTTTCCATGTAGTATAGTACCCAGAAGGTTCTGTGACAGGTGTTCTTGTGTCGCTGGTCCCCACTGGCCAGAGCTCTATGATAACCAAGGCCTTGGATCATTCGGGTGGCTTCCATGAGCAGGACTTCGTCGATTTGAAGACAACAGGTCGTCATAGCGAATATTGACTGGATAACACAACTCATCGTATTAGCCAACTCCATTCACATCACCTTTCACTACTTGTGTCAGGGTCTCCGCCACGTACCATCGCCATTAGAGCCTATTATCTTGTTGTCAGCAAACTGCCAAAGTAACCACCCCAAATAACATTACCTGAAGGCTCATCAAGGTTCCACGCGGCAGCAGTATATCCGAGACAAGACCCAAAGACACCTGGAAAAGTTTCCACGCCTTTCCATTCCCAGGATCAAATGCTCCGCCTTCATGATACTGGCATCCTAGCGCTAGAACAGTGTGATACAGGGCCGAAAACGCAGAATTTGAACACAAATTCTCAGACAGATTGGGCCCAAATACCCTATCCTCGAACTCCTCACGATCTAGAAAAGGATATGTCGGGTGCAGTTGGTTGAAGTAGGCTGCGCAAGTTTCCCAGAAGGATCAACAATGGGAGGACGGGAGTGGACAGGGATGAATCAACTTACAGTCGGTATATAGCCTTATCTTGTCTGGTGAAACCGGCTCAATATCCGATGGCTGCCTAAAAGAGATGGGCGATGGAGAAGATGGGCCCTGTGCGAGAAGCCGAGATCGGATGATAGATTCGATGGTCTCTACAAGCTGGTTGAGGCGGTCATTCCCCAATTGTTGCGACAAGGAGCGAATTCGACGCTCGGAGAAAAAAGCAAGGCTGGAACTAGTTACTTGAAATTAAAGAACCGTCAGAATTTGGGGGCTCCTTGAGATATGGTCTTTTGCAGTAGCATACCATCATGGTCAGATGCCTGGGTGCAAATCTTTGGTCAGTTTAAGAGAGATTATTAGAGAAAATCTTGAACAACTGACCCTTAGCAACGGATACGTATCCCGAAATACCCCGTTACTACCATGATTTTCCAACAACTGGTCAAGGAATATCAGTGGGAGAGTCGTTTGAATGCCTGTTGCTTCAGTTGAGGGCTCGAAGACTGGCCTCTGGTGCCGCTGACTGGTTGTCGCATCTAATCAATGCTGCTTAGGCATCTCGTCCGTGAATTAAATCAGAGGTGGGTTCGAGTCGGAAGTACATACGGTTAGGTTCAGGGGCAGATTTCCTTAATTTACGCTTGCTCGGGGGTAAATGGCAGGTCTCATTCCGTTTCTAGAGCGAGAAATGTTTCAGTTGCCGATACGACTACTTGGAATACTCACCATCTTACAATGCAATTTGTACATCTGATACGTTGTCCGGGTGGCACTAAAAGATAGCTATTATTACAATCAATGTTCTCGAGACAAAAAGGGGGGATCAACGTACTGATGCAGCGGACTTTCCGGCTCCTACACTGGTCACAAGTCTTGCAAGTCTTGATTTCTGATGCTTCAGCTCCATTCTGGGTCTTCATTGTCGGCAAAGACTGGCATATCCAGGGATAATTTCGGTGTTGGGTGATATGTTAGGACAACGTGGGGAAGTTCAGAGGGCCGAACTCCGGAGTTCGAAGTCTCGGGTTTCGGCATAATTTCTGACGTAATCTACCTGTGCGTCCACGGGTCCACGGGTTCACTCAAGTCAACTCATTGCGAAACCCGAACTACTGAAACCGCTCTGAAACAACTCTGCTAGGATTGGATGGTGGATTTTTTTTTCTAATATTCAGATTCTGAAATTTCAATATACTCAGTAAATAGAAAGCGATCATCAGCATTTCAGATATATTCCAAAAGAAAACAGCTAAAACTCCACCCAATACAAAAATTGCTGTCAAATTTAGCCCTAGAAGAAACTGTCGGAAATCACCGGTACTGCAATGTATGGTCAAAATGACAGATATATATGACTCTAACTAACTAAAATGACAAGAATCCCCTATTTGACAATTTGCTAGGGCATAACTGACTAAGCTTAATATGCAATTTGTATGGGGCCCACTATCATAGCGGTCCATGTATTTTCTGAGGTGTTGAATACTCGGGTTCCTAGTCATGTATTGTAACATAGCTTTCGACAGAAACCACTAACAAAACACAATATCCATCTAGAAAATCTCCGTAATGTATCGCTCATATAATGTTCCCAACATACTCTCCAATACAGCCTTGACCCCCTTGGCCAAGTTCCCCGAACCGCAGACATAGATTATCGCATCCTGAGCCCACATATCCTGGATGGTCTCGGTTTCTGTGAGCAACCGGTGTTGCACATAGCGACATCCCTTGGCAAGGTAGTGATTTGGGACTTTACTGTACGCCCTCCGGACCTCAACCACACCCGCGGCTTCGAACTGGGATAATTCGTCGTGGTAAAGATCATCCAGCTGCGGACTGCGACAGCCGAAGAACAAGAGCGCCTTAGCGAGTGTTTTGTCCTGTTGCTGCCACAACATGCGATCCTGGATGAAGCTGCGGAAGGGGGCAAGGCCACTGCCTGCGCAGATCATGATGATCGGTTTGCTCGACTGGTCTGTCGGGAGATGGAAGGCGTCTTTGGCGGGTCGTGGGGATATGTAGAGAATGGACCCTAAGTTCAGCGATGCGAGATAGTTCGATGCGACGCCTAGATACCGACCATTGCCGTTCCATGCTGGCTCGTTGATGACGGAGAAGGTGAGCGAATAGTGTAAGGGCTTGAAGGAGGGGGCCATGGAGAGGGAGTAAGTGCGAACGCGTAGAGCGGGGAGCATGGAGATAAATGTGGTGATAGGAAGTGTCACTGAGGTGAATTGTTCGAGGAGATCTAAGACCGAGGCACGCTTCGCTCGGATGAGTGAATCGTAAGAATCGTATAAATGGAGCAGCTCTTGTTTTTCTCCATCTGACGGTGTGGTTGAGGCGAGTTCTTTGAGGTTCTGTAGTTTCTTTAGTTAGTCAAGTGCGTTCCATCTGAGTCAAGTTAAAAATATTATTATGGACCTACATTCCGCGTTGCCGGTTGAGACAGCTCCAGATATGAGCTGAACAGTTCGGCCGCTGACACGGGTGTAGCCTGGGGTAGATCGAGCGCATTGGACGACTCGAATGTGATGCTGTGATCCGGTGCGAGATTGAATCGAGCCAGCGCTCTCGAAACCGTGCTGGGCGGATTGACTGGGAGGATGTTGAGATGGTCGCCTGGGCGGAGGGTAGTTTCGCCTGGGATGCAGAATTCCAGATGTCGCTTCTCCGGGGCCCCGGGGCTGGTCAGCGTCCGGATGGCAGTCACCTTGGCTTCAATAAGGTCCCGGTGCATACCCACCCTTGTGGGCTTGTTGATGCTGATCTGGAGTTGGTGCGGCTCCAATGGTACGAAGTTGCTGTTATTGGGCGGGTAGAAACTCTCCCGGAGGCCGGGCAGTAAATTGGTCTCCTCCCACACTTCGAGATCCGAGAAGAGATCGCTGATGGCGGCGTTGGCTGCCCCTCGCGTTGCGAGCCGCGTGGCTCCAGCCTTGTACATTAGGTTGTCTATCAAGATCGGGATGCGATAGAATGTTTTGGTCCAGTCTTGATGGCCACAGCCGAAAACTGCGTATGAGACGCCTTGAAGAGACGGAGAATTACCGCTTTCGAGCCAGGCGACAAATTTCTTCGCATCGTCCGTGGGCTGCCCGTCGTAGGTGGTGGTTATGATAATCGTTGGCTGGTCTCTCGGCAGATTGTCTACGGCGCTATCGAGTGGGGCAATATTCTGGTCGGTAAATCCACGGGTCATCATGGTTGATGCTAGCCGGTGGGTGAGAGCTTTGCATGTTCCACTGTTGGAACCGTAGAAGAAGGAAACTGGCTGACCTCCCGCTGCATCCCGGCCGTTCTCGTTCCCAGCGAGATACGTTGACGATGCCGGGCTCGCAGCAGCGCCTACCGATATGTTATGCTGGGAGAGCGCCGTGGCACTCTTGCCGTGACGCAAAGTGGCTCGGATCCGGAAGCCATCGGGCTTGATGGTAAGGGTCTCTTTGATGCGCAATTTGTAGTAAGGGTCCTCTGCTGCCAAGTCAAACGTTCGAAGGACTAAGGCAACCACCAGTTGAGCTTCTTGCCAGGCAAATGCCCTGCCAATACATCCGCGTTCACCGTTGCCAAAGGGCTTCCACGAATTGGGTGGGAGCTTGGAGAAGTTCTCTTCCAGCATGCGGTTCGGGCGAAACTCCCCCGCGTCAGGCCCAAAGACGGTCTCGTCTCGCAGACACACAGGCAACAGTAGGTTGACGGAATCTCCAGTATTGATCATCCATTTACCGCCCAGCACCTCCGGCTTCTGCGGTGTGACGGTGAAGGCCGGGGCGGTGGGCATCAGGCGCAAACTCTCTTTCATAATTGCATCGATGTAGGGAAGCTTTGCGAGATGCTGTACCGTGATCGGTCCCACGCCGGTAACCTCATCAACTTCATTCCGGGCCCGCTCTAATACATCTTGGTTTTGCAACAGGTAATAAAATGTGAAAGACAGCAAGCCGGAGGTGGTTTCATGGCCTGCGATCAAGAACGTGATGATGTTGCTGATGATCAAATCATCACTCATACCTTCACCAGTGATTGGGTCCCGTCCGTTCAGCAGTGTGTTCAGAAGGTCGTCGACCGGCTCGGGCTTGGCTCTGCGCTCCTCGATGAGATTTCGGGCCATGCTTCTCATCGCGTCGATGTGCTTGGACATGCGCCGCTGCGCCTTGACACGCATGCAGTTTGCAACCCCGGGGAGCGTAGACTGGAGCTCGGCTTCCTTCAGCACGTATAGCATGGATTCTATAAACGGATGCAATGCATTGCTGTTGTAATAGCTATTTAATCGGAAGCCCATCGTGCAGAGGGCGATGGTGTCTAATGTGAGGCGGGTGAAGTCATCGCAGATATTGATACTCGTCGAACTTCCCTGGCGGGCCCTGTACCAAAAACAACCAACCAACCTAGTCAGCCGGTCTTGTATCTTCCAGTTTGGTTGTTGGGACAGATGCTCGGGGATGCTTACCACTTGAAACACAACTGTTGCGCAACATCGCTCATATCCTCGAACATGTCCCTGATCCGCAGCGGGCCAAAAGCAGGCATCAGAATTCGGTGGGCAATGCCCCAACCGCGCTCTCCGTGGTATGCCGTGAATAGGCCATCTTTAGCCAGCATTCTTAACTTTTGTATTCCACCCATGACGGCTTTGTGGAAGCGGGTTTCGTCACAAAGCTCATCGACCAGAGCCTGGCTCGTGGCAAAGATCTGTTTCTGGCCGTTGATGGTGATTTGGAAGAGAGGCCCTGGAGTGGTTGATTAGTGATATTAACTTCTATTTCACATTCAGGCAAGAGTGAAGTGTACCAAACTCGTGCGCCATCTTGATAATAGATTGTAGGCCATTCTCGAGGTCGATGTCGAACAGATTTCCCACCACTGGCAGGGCTATATAAATGACCAGTCAGTAAAGATGAAAAAAACAAAGATAAATTCAACAGTAGTAGTAGTTCCGACTGTGAGAACTACTTGCTTACTTACGTTTTGGTCCAGGAATGCTTTCCATGTCTTTCATCGCTTTCAACTAGCAGTTATGCTTTGTAGAGATAGTATAAACATAAATTAATGAATGATGTTGAGGTCTGCTTTGGGATGATATCGCTACTTATACACCGTACGACTGTTCATCCATATAAAACGATGTCGGCTTAGAGCTTCAAAGTGGAGCGTGCTTATTGTGTTGAGGGGCTCGGTGTTCGGTGTTCGGTGTGCCGTCAAACTCTATAGCCAGACACTCACTCGGTAATGTCTCACCGAGGATCAGTTATCTATATCCAACGGGGCGCAGTTATTCTCCAGATGAGTCTCGACCTTTGAGTGGATGAAGAAAGTAATTCCTTAGGCCCTCTTCATACCCCATAGCCTAACGTAAAGCGGGCTGCGCGTGTAAGCCAGCTCCGCATCCCTAAACACATAGTAAATGCAATAAATTACACACGCAGCTCGCTTGCCGAATACGTTAATGAGATTATTTGTGTGTGAAGTTCTTTTTGTTCGAAGCAATTGGAGATATGTTCAAAACATGATCAAGAGTAGATTCGTCTGTATATCTAAAAGACAGAGAATACACAAAAGAATTTCCGATCAAATCACTTGTTAGCCAATGCAGTGGTATAAGTTAACTGATCAAGTGGCATCTTCGATAGCATCTACGGCGACCGAACTGCTGCATTCTGCCTCTCCATGCAACTCCTGGGTCAATCGCAAGCTCCTCCAGTAGTGCCTCTCTCGCCTCAACTCCACCCCAATCCAGATTACCGTCAGCACAACCCAGAGTCCTGCCCAAATAGCAGGTACAGACCAGCCAAGCTGTAAAGAGTCACCACATAATCTCAGTCTCTTTACATGTCATACTTTTGAGGTCAGACGCACATACCGTGTAAGCCAGTTCACGGTCCGCAATAAAAATCCCTGCCAACGTCCCCCCGGCTACCACCACTTGAGGAACAGCCCATAGCATTGTCACTCTGTGCAGCATGCTGCGAAATGGTGGGCTCGCTTTGTATCTCTGATCCAGGCGCTCCCTGAACCTGGTTCCTCCTTGGCCATCTACCGCAATGATATCTTCTAGAAGCGGATAGAGGGCGGGACGCATTAAGTCCCCTTTCGGAATGGAGGAAATGCGGAACGGGGCGGGCTGCTCGAAGACGTACATGGCCTCGAAAAATAACATCTCGAGTGCGAAGACGAGGAAAATCGAAGGCACTGGCATAGCCAGGATGCGCATCCAGGGAGGATCTGGAATGGTTCCGATAACGAGTTCGGTGATGATAATAACCCAGCAGACGAGGACATTCCAATGGGTAAAATCAAACTGCAATGGATTGAGTCAGAGGAAATCCTCATTACAAGTATAGTCAGGAGAGCGGAATCTTGAGGGGTTGTCACATAGTAGCGGCCTGCGTTGGGAACGCGACAGCTGGATTTTTTCCTCCATAGATACCACGATCTCTGCAATGATTCGGTCACAAATGTTCCGAATATGGTGAGAGTCACCACACCAAAGACTGTGGAGCACAATGCTCGATTAGATATCAAACGGAATAAAATCGAGAGGAGAGAGTACCAGTCGTGAGGGACCAGGTCGTAATTCTGGTCAGCAGGTAGTAGAGCCCGATGGGCAAGAGAAAGGAGTCCAAAAAAACCATCAGCCAGAAGATTATGATGCGCAGCTTCCTTTTCGCCAGGCTGTAGTTCAACGGCAAAGGCTCTAGGAATTTCTGAGACTCGGACATCTTGTGGTAGTACATTAATACACAAATGAAGAGAAGAATCCTCGAGAAATAGAGAGGTTAGTACAATTTATTGGCTATACGATATGTCATACTTCGTTTAAATCTATTAAGCCTGTCGGTTTCACTCCTAAACACACTTGGAGGCGCCATGGTGGAGAATCATTTTGAGTCCTTTTTTAGCATCACCGAACACCGAAAAACGTGAGCCTGCAATTCCCGAACACCGAAATCTTATTTTATTTGAAAATGGAAGAGTTCTCAGGTATATCATTAATAGGGGCATTTGATCACAGTACAAAATCCTCTCGGTGCGCCGAGGAACCGCAAGAAATGAGAATAAAACTCACGATCATTATCTACATTCACAGGGCCTCCCGCAGATGCACTAATATCTTCAGAGCAACACGCCACCATGACAGAGAGCACGGCTCCAATAGAATACTCCAAGCATCCCTGGGCTTCAAATCCTAGCCTGGAAGAAAACGAAGGAGAAAACGAGGGCAACAATGTTGACCAAACAATTCGCAGGCTGGCAAGCCGTGTCTCACGCCACACTGTGTGCTCGGAAGTGACCAAGCCCTGCAATGATGTTTTCCATCCTGTCCCCGGTTCAAATCTTGACCCACAATCCTCCACCTTCAACACTCGCGCTTGGGTAGAAGCACTCCTTCGATACGAGAGCGACAATCCTGACTCAGGACGGCGACGGAAGTCCGGAGTCTCCTTCCGTGGTCTTGATGTATATGGATTCGGCATGTCCACCGACTACCAGAAAAGCGTGGGCAACGGCATCCTCTCGCTGATGAAGCAGCGGCGCAAACGAAGAATCGATATCCTCCACGGGTTCGAGGGGCTGGTGAACGCTGGCGAGATGCTTTTGGTGCTTGGGCCTCCAGGCTCAGGGTGTTCGACTATTCTTAAGACGATTGCTGGGCAGATGGAAGGGTTGTTCTTGGGCGACAAGGTCATGATGAATTATCGAGGTATGTATGGCAGCATCCCGGACTCACTCACTAGAGATCTCGAAAACACCTGCTTACTTATTTTCCTGCGACTAGGCGTATCCAGCAAAGAGATGCACACTTACTTCCGGGGAGAGGCTATTTTCGCCGGTGAGAACGATGTGCATTTCCCTATGCTATCTGTCGGGGACACGCTGTCTTTTGCAGCCCATGCCAGAGCACCGCGCGAGTTGCCTGCCGGGCTGAAGACCCAGGAATTCTCCACGCTTATGCGGGACGTCATCATGGCCATGTTTGGCATCTCGCACACGGCGGCTACCGTGGTAGGCAATGACTTCATCCGGGGAATTAGTGGAGGTGAACGGAAACGTGTTAGTATCGCTGAAGCAGTCTTAAGCGATGCTGCGTTACAATGCTGGGATAACAGTACGCGCGGATTGGATAGCGCCAATGCCGTGGAATTCTGTCGAACGCTTCGCACGGCCACCGAACTTTTACAATCCACAGTTCTGGTTTCCCTCTATCAAGCACCTCAAGAAGCATATGATGTATGTGGAATACTCCCCTTTCATGCTCTTCATATCAGCTCACCACGGGAAAGCTTTTTGACAAGGTCACGGTCCTGTATGAAGGACGCCAGGTCTTCTTCGGAAACACATTTGAAGGACGGGCATATTTTGAAGAGTTGGGTTTTGAGTGTGAGACTCCACAGTATCTTGATCCTACGTTTTGTGCTTGCTTGTTCCTAACGTGAATATCTCCAGGCCCCAAGCGACAGACAACACCCGATTTCCTCACCTCAATGACAAGCCCGAAGGAACGTCTCATTCGTCAAGGCTATGAAGATAAAGCCCCGCGCACAGCAACAGAATTCGAGGAAAGATGGAAGAAAAGCCGCCAGCACCAGGAACTGATGCTTGAAATTGAGGCGTACGAAAATAAATTTACCCTTGGGGGCGAATTTCTGGAGGAGTTCGCGGCATCGCGTAAGGCGCAACAGGCAAGCGGCCAAACAATCAAATCCCCATATACGCTGTCGTACATGCAACAGACATCCCTGTGTCTTTGGCGCGGGTGGAAGCGCCTGCTTGCGGATCCTTCCTTGACGTATATCCAGCTCGGAGGCAATTCTATCATGGCTCTGGTCTTGGGCAGCGTCTTCTTCAATCTACATAACGACACGAACAGTTTCTATGGACGAGGGGGGTTGATATTTTTCGCTCTGTTGTTGAGCGCCTTTGCTAGTGTTCTTGAGGTAAGAAGGCCAATGGAATGAATGCTGTTTTGTACAACTCTAACGCTATCCAGATATTGACGCTCTACGAGCAGCGGCCAATTATAGAGAAACACAATCGTTATGCTCTCTACCACCCGTCTGCTGAGGCTGTGGCGAGCATGATGACTGACATTCCATACAAAGTGCTCAACACGTTGTGCTTCAACCTCACGTTGTATCTTATGGCAAACCTTCGGCGAGAAGCTGGGCCAATATTCTTTTTCCTTTTTGTTGCTTTCCTCAGCACAATGGTGACATCCAGCCTGTTCCGAACAATTGCATCCGTGTCACGTACCATGTCACAGGCGATGGTACCGGCCGCTTTACTAGTCCTAGGCCTAATCATGTACACCGGCTTCACGATGCCAACCATGTACATGCCTGGATGGTCACGGTGGATGGCCTATATTAACCCGCTCAGTTACGCATTCGAGTCTCTGATGATCAACGAGTTCCACGAACGCGATTTTGCGTGCTCGGTAATCATCCCCTCAGGACCAGACTACAGCGCTGTAGGCATTAATAACCGAGCCTGTGCGGAGGTTGGAAACACACTCGGCTCAACAACAATCCAGGGAGACATATACATCAACGACAAGTTCCAATATTACCATTCCAACAAATGGCGGTAAGTTTTTTCCATCACTCTTGTGGTACTCGTCGTGAGAGCTATTTTTCCAACATCGAGAAATGACACTGACATTCCACCAGTAATGTGGGAATCCTCATAGCCTTCTGGGTCGTCCTCACAATTATTTACCTGGGAGCGACTGAGCTTCTCAGCATGGCTAAGAGCAAAGGAGAAGTTCTCATCTTCCGTCGCAGCCATTTTGTTAAAAATGAATCCACACTCCGAATGGCCGAGGCCGACGACGAAGAGGCCCTCGCGACCGAAATGGCGACAATGACCCAGTCAGCCGCGACAGACGAGACACAAATTGATCCCAGTGAGGGCCAGATCTTCCAGTGGGAGGACGTATGTTACGATATCAAGAATAAAGGAGAGGTCCAACGTATCCTTGATCACGTTGATGGATGGGTTCAACCTGGAACCTTGACCGTTTTGATGGTACGTATATATATGTCATTGCATATGCCAGCAGAGTGATTTGTCTAACACAAGACAAATATCAGGGCGTCTCAGGAGCCGGTAAAACAACTCTCCTCAACGTTCTCGCCAACCGCACCACGACCGGTGTCGTCACCGGCACCATGCTAGTCGCCGCTATGGCCACTGATGACTCCTTCCAGAGGAAAACAGGCTACGTGCAGCAGCAGGATGTCCATCTCTCAACCTGCAGTGTGCGCGAGTCACTCGAGTTTAGTGCATTTCTCCGCCAGCCGACAAGCGTGTCACGGGATGAGAAACTCGCTTACGTGGACGAAGTGATCAGGCTCCTCGAGATGGAAGAGTACGCGGATGCCATTGTTGGCATCCCTGGTGAAGGACTAAACATAGAGCAGCGCAGACGTCTTACTATTGGAATCGAGCTGGCTGCTAAGCCTGAGTTGCTTCTGTTTCTGGATGAACCGACTTCCGGACTAGACTCGCAGACCTCGTGGGCGATTTGCCAGCTGCTAAAACGACTTGCACGTAGTGGCCAGGCAATTCTGTGCACGATTCACCAGCCGTCTGCTATGCTGTTCCAAGAATTTGACAGTTTGCTGCTTCTCGCGAAAGGCGGCAAAACTGTGTACTTCGGAGGTTTGTCGGCTGCTCAATCTTTCTCCCCCCCTTCTCTCGCGGTCTGTTCCGACCTAGGATACCACAAATACATTTGCTAATAATTTATTTCCTCCTTTTCCAGAAATCGGCGAAAACTCTGCTACTCTGATACGGTATCTGGAATCCAATGGAGCAAGGGGGTGTCCTCCTGGCGCCAATCCGGCCGAGTGGATGTTAACGGTTATCGGTGCGGCACCCGGATCTCAAACTACTTTGGACTGGCCCAGGGTTTGGCAAGACTCGCATGAGTATCAGGCTGTCAAGGCAAAATTGCACGAAATCCGAACTTCAAGGATTAATACAGGGGGTAGCCTGCAAACGCAGCCTTCCGGTCAGTCCAACAGCAAGTCTTATGCCGCACCTATTTTACATCAGTGGTGGGTCGTACAGAAACGTGTTGCAGCGCAATACTGGCGAACGCCGTCCTATATCTATTCCAAGATTGCTCTCACGGTGGCCTCGGTGAGAATCCCACCAGACCGAAGACAGCATGTCTTGGAAGCCATATAAATGTGTCATAGCTAACTGAAGTTCATTTGATCCAGGCTTTATTTATCGGCTTCAGCTTTTACAATGCGCGAAATACTATCCAAGGGCTCCAGAACCAGATGTACGCCGTTATGATGCTATTAAGTATGTTCGGGCAGCTCAGCGAGCAGATCATGCCTCAGTTTATCAACCAGCGGGAGGTTTACGAAGCGCGCGAGAGGGCATCTAAAATATATGATTGGAAAGGTACGAGCTCCATGCAGTGACTATCGGTCCTTACAAAACACACACACACACACACACACACACACACACACACACACACACACACACACACACACACACACACACACACACACACACACACACACACACACACACACACACACACACACACACACACACACACACACACACACACACACACACACACACACACACACACACACACACACACACACACACACACACACACACACACACACACACACACACACACACACACACACACACACACACACACACACACACACACACACACACACACACACACACACACACACACACACACACACACACACACACACACACACACACACACACACACACACACACACACACACACACACACACACACACACACACACACACACACACACACACACACACACACACACACACACACACACACACACACACACACACACACACACACACACACACACACGACTAACCTACTCAATGGTCCAGTCTTTATGCTGAGTAATCTCACGATCGAGATCTTCTGGAACACATGTATGGCCTTGGTAGCCTACTTGTGCTGGTACTATCCTATCGGACTTTACCAGAACGCTGATCTCACACACGATGCTACATCGCGTGGGGGTCTTGCATTCCTGTTTATCTGGGCCTTTATGATGTTCACCAGTACCTTTACGCACATCCTTGTTGCTGGAATTGACAGTGCCGACTCGGCTGGAAGTGTCGGGAACATCTGTTATATGCTCTGTATAACTTTTTGCGGGTATGTACCATATTAGGTTTTGCTCTGTCTCCCCTAACGCGACTTACGTGTATCTCCTTCCCCCTTTATTATATACAGTATCACTAACTCATTATTTTCACAATCCCAACAGCATTCTCGTCAAAAAGGCTTCCCTACCAGGATTTTGGACATTCATGTACTACGTCTCCCCGTTCACGTGGCTCGCCTCCGGCCTTCTTTCTACCGGTGTAGCAAACACAGCAATTGTCTGTGCATCGAATGAATATGTCAAGTTTCTCCCGCCGGCAGGTGAGTCGTGTGGCTCGTACATGGCCTCCTACATCTCTTCATCAGGTGGGTACTTGATCGATGTAAAAAACACCGAGTACTGTGAATTTTGTCAACTGAGCAATACGAACGAGTATCTCAGCACGGTCAATATTCGATTCGAGGACCGATGGAGGAATTTTGGCATTGTCCTGGTTTATATTGTGGTTAATGCCGCGGGGGCTTTGGGTGTATATTGGCTGGTTCGGGTGCGGAAACGAGGGGGGAGCTTGGAGAAACCGAAGGGAGAACACAAGAAACGAGGGGGAGGATATGCAAATAAAAATTGCAATCTATAGCTGATCATACCGGAGTGGGTGGTATAATGGAAGCTGTAGCGCTGGGAACTAGTTGTAATTTTGCCGGTACACATTTGATTTTTGTCGCAAGTTTTGCCTTTAGTTATGTTTTACAATGCACCTCAGACTAATTGAGTATACCCCACTTAATCAACTGGAAGGGAACCGCGATGTCCTTAACACCACCTCCTATCAAGATAATATACTCTATACGAGGGGACGGGGCTGTGATAATCATAAGCAGCCCGTAAAGCTTACACGCGCTCCTACAGGGCTATTTACATGCATTGACATTCAATTTTGCCAAAGACGAGATATGCGAAATTATCCAAATCGACCGCTGTGTTTGACAACGTGGGGGTTTTCCTAGCGATTCTAGGGATCCAATGTTGTGAGTTATAATCCCAGGAAGGCCAACGCTGCCACTGCATATGCATCAACGGCAGTTTCCATAGTAGGATGAAGTGCAGGACTAAAGCCAGAACTGTGAGTGCCTATGCAACTGTTAGTTTCCAATTTGATATGCAAGTCCAATAAGGCATCTCACCGGGAATTTGGCTCGTGATTCCCTTCTTTTTCATATCATCCCAGATTTGGGTATCGATACCTCCAAAGTTCCAAAAGCAACTAGGAGCATTGACCGCATCGGCAAGATAACCAAAGTCCTCACTTCCCAAGGAAGGGAAAGGACTTTTCTGGAATTCAGAACCGAAATATAGAGCCATTCTTTTCGAAACCGTGCTGGTAACGGTCTCATCGTTGTATAACATGGGACACGAGAGGATGCTTTCAATAGTTGGTGGACTAGGACAGCGGAACGCGTGACATTCCGCTGCCACCATCCTCTCTATAGCCTTGAGGATATGCTCTCGGACGTTTTTCGAAAACGTACGCACATTAATTTTCAATAATCCTTGGTCATTGATGATATTCTCTTTGCTGCCGGCCTGCACAGCACCCACAGTGACAACAGCCGTATCTCTAGGGTCCAATTCCCGGCTGACGATAGTCTGCAGTTTCATCACGATCGAGCTGACTACGACGACCGGATCCACCGTCTCATGTGGCCGACTTCCATGGCCCCCACGCCCATGCACAATAACCTTCAGACTATCCACTGCACTGTTGAATGGGCCAGGGGCTGTTTCCACAATACCCGCGCGTTGAGGCATAATGTGAGCACCCAGGACAACATCCGGGATAGGCACACCGTGTCGATTGGGGTCATAGAGACCATCGAGGACCATTGCCTTTGCTCCTTGCACGTGCTCCTCGTCAGGCTGAAAGAGCACGACGACTGTTCCGCTCCACATGTGTTGGCAGGACTGAAATAACTCACTAGCAGCAAGCAGGGCTGTACAATGCATATCATGTCCACAGGCGTGCATCACGGGCTTTTCGATCCCATCGTAGACATCAACTGCGCGTTTTGTACTGGCGTAAGGGAGGCCTGTCGTCTCTGCGATGGGTAGGGCGTCCATATCAGCCCGGATCAAGACGGTTTTGCCTGGTCCGTTCTGAAAGATTCCCACCACACCATGTCCGCCGATGGACGTTTTCACATTGTACCCGTTAAGGCTGCGAAGGTGATTTGCAATCGTCTCTGCAGTCGTTACTTCCTCGCATCCTAATTCGGGATTCGCATGGAGTGTTTTATATAGTTCATCATACATCAAAAGATTGGGACGATGACTGCAAATGATTGAAGTGAATTCCATTTCTTTTTTTCTTTTTGCGTGTCGTTTGCTAGGTCTTCTGATAGGTGTTTTGGGTCTCACTAGAATATACGTAAGTAGATGTCATTAATGCTTTTGCTTATAACCGTCGGCATTTGGAAAGTGAAATCGGACATTCTAGCGTCCGTCGGAGGATAGTGTCCGACACCATAGAACATTTCTTTATGAATCATTTCTCATTCGAGGATCGGGGAAGTTTCGGCGTCTGAACTCCGACTAAGCTCGGGCCGAAGAGCCAATCTATCGCATTATTTACGTTCCTACTCCACATCCCGTATGTAGACCGATAGTACGTGCGTGCAGAGCCCAATGGCGGCCGTTTCTATCCTCGAAAGCGATCAATTTTGGCCAGGATCTTACAGGCCCTCAGACTGTACGCTTAAACGGTCAATGATGATAATACAACCCAAATCAAATTCAAGAGGTAAAAAGCCACTAAACTAAGTAAAAACATCGGTAGCATACCGCTCCTTTGTCCGCAAATTATCGAAGAACTGCTCTGCAGCCTGATCGTCATCAAGCTCAGCACCAGGCGGAGTCTCCCCCTTCTCCTTAAGCTCGGCGTGTCTCGCACGGCGCTTCTCGATATACATCTGCTTGCAGGCATCGCGAATACCAGCACCGACACCAGTACTACCGCAAACATAGATCTTCGCACCATCATCAAATAGCTTCACCAGCTCAGCACGGTCCTCAAGCATGAGATCCTGAACATGCTGTCCCTTGCTTCCGTCAGCGGGCCGACTATACGCCCAGCGAACATCGACAGCACCCAGCTTAGCCCACTCCGCAAGTTCGTCAGCGTGGATATCATCCTGCCCCTGCGTACGGCAACCAATATACAGCACAGCCTTTGCGGGCTTGACAGCCTCGTTATCATGCAGCTCATCTGATTCAGGTGAACTGCGGCGGCCGCGGATCTTCTCCGCGCGCTCCATGACGAATCCGCGGAACGGTGCGAGACCGCTACCTGCGCAGGCCATGATCATTGGTGTTTCAAGGTCCACTGGTGGCTTGAAGCCTGAGTGCGAGGGGCGGACGCTAATGTGTGCGCGTTCGCCGGCTTGGAGCTCGGAGAGGTAGTTTGATGCGACGCCCAGGTATTGCTCGATGCTTTCGCTGCCTTCGGGAGTGGTATTGGCGAGTGCCGGAGCGCTGAGGACGGTGAATGTGATCGAGCATTCGGATGGGTCGACTAGTGGCGACGAGGAGATGGAGTATTGTCGCACGCGCATCGGTGGGAGCATTGCGAGGAAATCACCGATGGGGAGCTTGATTTGAGGATAGCGGGTTAGGAGATCCAGTGGGCTGACGCGCTTCTTGACGATTTCTTCGGTGAAGCGGCTGGGGCTGGAGGCGAGGTAGCGTAGTTCAGCTTGGAGTTCCGCATCGGAGATGGCAGCGTCGGCTAGGACGTTGATATCGCGCTTTGAGGCGGGTTGGGATAGTTCGATATAGGTGGATAGGAGCTCGAAGGCTGAGATAGGCGTATCGATGGGGATCGACGGAGAAGCTGTTGAGCCTGCGGGCTTCTGGACTTTGATAACGGCATCCCAGGGGAGGTCGAAGCGGCGGATTGCGCGACGAACCACTGAGCTTGGGTTCACGGGTAGCACTGCGAGATAATCACCGCACTGGTAGGTCATGTCTGACGGCAGCTTGAACTTGACCACTCGTTTCGCTGGGGCTCCGGGTGGCGTAAGGAGCTGGTTCTCAATGACGAAACCCTCTTCAAGCTGGAGACCCAGGGTAGATGCGCGCATACCCGAGCTCACTTCGACCTGCAATGAAGACTTCGACTTGGTAGCATTTTCGGGGCTAGCTCCACCGAATTTCGCCATCACACCCGGCCAGAATGAGGTCTCACCCCATCCATCGAAATCGGTGAACATGTCTGAGTTTGCTGCATCGGCAAGGCCAATGTCGCAGAGCTTGTTAGCCCCATTTTCCTTGGCCAGCTGGTCGATGGCCTTCGGGATACGGTAGAAGGTGGTCGACCAATCATGATGGCCACAGCCGAACACTGCATAGTTGACACCTTCCAAGTCGTTTCCCTTCAGTCCACTGAGCCACTCAAAGAAGTGAGCCGCATTATCCGGAGGCTGTCCTTCGTAAGAAGCTGAGATGAAGACCACAGGGTCATTTTTAGGAATATTCTGCATGGCCGAATCCAAAGAACTTGTCTGCGCAGCGTATCCATATGCGGTGGCATCATCAGCCAGCCTGCGGGCGAATGCCTCACAAGTTCCCGTATTGCTGCCATAGAATATATGCATTGGCTTCAGCTTGCCATCCGCGGGTACGACCTTGGGCTTTCGGTCCCGGCTACCAGCGCCAGTCTCTGTGGGCGCAACAGCAGAGCCACTGAGCGTAGTGTTGAGTTGCGTAGGGTCGAGCCCATCTCTCAGGGTAGCCCTCATGTGGAAGTCCTTGGGCTTGATGGTAAGTGTCTGTTTAATGCGGAGATCGTAGCTGGGGTTGTCCATCTGGAAGTTGAAGTTCTGCAACAAAATTGCAACAACAAGGAGGGCCTCCTGCCATGCGAAAGGCCGTCCAATACAACCTCGCATACCATTTCCAAATGGCTTCCATGCGTTCTTGGGCAGCTTCTCGAAATGTTCATCGAGCATCCGCTCTGGCTTGAACTCATCGGCGTCGGGGCCGTAGACCTTCGGGTCACGGTGCATTTTGGTGAGCATGAGCGCAATGGTCTCGTCCTTGTGAAGAACATATTTTCCACCTCCAAGTGTGACAGGATCCTCGTGGTTCTTGGTGGGGTGGGGGTGCAGAGCAATCATTGGAGCTGTTGGCTTCAGACGCAGCGTCTCGCGCATTACAGCAGTGATGTATGGCAGCTTGGACATATCATCAACGGTAATCTTGCGTTTACCAATCACACGGTCGACTTCCTCTTGAGCCTTCTTGTATGCGCTCGGACTCTTCAGAAGATAGTAAAACAGGAATGACAACATGCCGGATGTGGTCTCGTGTCCTATAAAGTTCCAGGTTAGGTCGGAGATAATGCGCGCGTTGCAGAATTTATCCACTTACCAGCGATGAGGAATGTGATCATGTTGTCTACAATTGAGTCATCTGTCATACCCTGGCCAGTCTGCGGGTCGCGACCAAGGATAAGCGCATTGAGAAGATCCTTCTTCTCAACGGGGTTCTCCTTTCGCGAATCGACTAATTCCCGGGCTAGATTCCGCAGATACTCAATATCACTCCAGTACTTGTTGTTTTCCGCAGTGGGCAGGCTGTTAAACAAAGCAGGCTTCATAGCCCGACTTCCAGACCCAGCTAGCAAGCCAACCATTGCCTCGACGAACGGGTGCATCTCGTCGTGATAGAACGAGTTGAAGCGAGTGCCCATAGCGCAAAGAGCAATAGTATCCAGCGTCAAACGAGTGAAGTCATCCGTAACCTGGATAGGAACTGCAGGGCCAACCCGAGCCCATTTCATAACTAGCTGAGTAGCAATATCATACATTTCTGAATGCGAAAGTTAGCCAAACACGTCCCTTCCTTGCCTAGCACATTTTTCAACCCCGAGAGGAAAGGGACACCCACCATCAAACATGCCGCGGATCATCAGCGGACCGAAAGCAGGAACAAGAACGCGATGCGCAATAGCCCAGTTCTCTTCGCCGGGATAATTCGCGGTGAAGAGACCGTCGTGAACACCATTGCGGATCTCAGCCAGGCCAGCGGAGACCATTTTGCCGAAGCGCTCCTCATCGCAGACTTCGTCTACTAACTCGTGGGAGCTGATGAATACTCGTGGTCTGCCAAAGGTGGTCAACCTAAAGATTGGGCCTGAAAGGTAATAAACACAGAAATTAGTCCATCGATTCGCAATATACATTCCCAATTGTGCAGGTCTATATCCATACCATAGCTATCGGCCATCCGCTCAAAGCTGTTCACTGGAACCTCAGGCTCGATGTCGTAGATGTTTCCCAGGAATGGGACGCCCTTAGGGCCCGGGATTGGGACCTGTTTGGTCGAGGCCATGGCGTATGATATCCGCCTTTAACTTGAGGAGTTGGATCAAGTTGGACGAACGGGATGTATTGAATTTGTGTGGATCAATCGCAAAGTGGGATATGCAAGGATGTGAGATAGTAAAGGCGGGGTTGGAATAATGTGTCCCACTAAACCTGGTTTGTGTCGTAATCCAGGTTAACGACTGTACAATATTTCAAAACGTACCTTGGAGCTGCAATTAGAATGATAGGATGAAATATATCAAGTTTGGAAGATTAAAGAATGAAGTTAGGAGAGTTCCCAAGGTTTATAAAAAGAAAGGGTGACCTCACCGACTGTCAAGCCTCGGTCCCTTTTTATTAGGTGTAATCAAAATAGCTCTTATATATGAACTGCACAAATTACATAACTTCAGTTGTTTCATTTGTTTCATCTCCAGGGCTGTGTTGGAATGCCCGGTTCCACAACAAGGCATGAATTAAAGTCCAATCATGATCGCCGTGTATCAATCGGCCACGCCGAGATCTCCTCAGCCACAATTTTTAATTCTACCGCCTGTCCAATTCGACACGAATGCCGAAGATATGGAATCCTATAAGGACCTATAAGGGGATCTCGGTACAACCGAACCCACTATGCCACAGCCTTAAAGATCCACCTCGCAGGAATTTCCGCTTCTGGGAATACGTACTCTAACTCGGGCCGGACCATAGTTATGCCGATAATTGTGCCGATAGTTGTTCCGATAGTTGTGCCGACTACGATGACTTGGTCCACGTCTTTACTATAAGATGACGACGTGTTTATTTGTGCAACTTAAATCCCTCAAGTGTCTGTGGGACCATGCTGCATGGGAAACTCCTTTATTGGCTATTACTACCAAAATATTATCTAGGCACTATTAACCCCCATTTCATACTTAAGGACTCGAGTGCCCGGGCGCTAGGTCGCAGGGGGCGAATCTTATGTAGTTATCTGAAGGTTGGATATAACTGTACCTTAGTAGCCTCTTGGAGCATAAGAGATACTAGCACCTATGTAAGGCCCTGAATGACTTGGGAATCGACCCCACTTATCGAGCCTTTATGGTCTTTATCGCCTTCGTGTACATCTAAAAAGAACGAGTAACAACACGACGTTACGTTATTACACACAACCTCCCTAATATCATCCGAGGCCAAATAGACGGATCGAGTTATTATAGTTTCACAGGGGCCGTATAAGCGGCCGACTATTCTTGTACTTCTAAAAAAAAAAAATATATATATATAGAAAATAGGAGAGCGGTTACATATTTACGTTCCACATCCACATATGCACAGTGTTGACCAATACGACCAAAGTCCCGCGGGGCACGCATAGCCCCGAAGGCACATAAGACAAGTGCAACACATCATTTGTAATACGTGCTACAATCGTCAGGTGAGCTGTCATTGAATGACTTCACTAGGGCCACAAATATTCAGAGTTCTAAACACCCTCCCATGACCAAATATAAAACGGCTTATCGCGTCCTTGATAGGTAAGATACAACTTGAGTAAACTCAGCGGACATTTCTCACTCATTGAGATCAAGGAGGAAAAAGGGTTGGACGAAAACCCGTCTTGTGTGGTGTCATATTTACATGTGTGTATTTGGAGGCAGATTGCAAACGAAGCAAAGGGCGGCCTGAACAACGCCAATGAAGGGAATGGTGATCCGAGGACCAAAAAGGGGATATCAACAGAACGGGGAGCGGAGCAAGTGACTCGACGTATACGCGAGACAGAGGCAAGAGAAGACAGCAGAAAAATGCCGGTAAGCCGGTAAGCCGGGACGAAAGGAAAAGGAACATTATTCCGACTCCGTCGGCCATCACAGATGCCCAAGATTGATGCCGTCATGGTGGCAATCTGTAATACCGGACACGGCGCGAAACGAAAGGAAAAATAATGACAGAACTATTCATTATACAGGTCCAAAAGCAAGTTCGTGGGGGTTACTAGTGTCTGTACTTCACAAGCCGGCTAGTTGGCGACCTGCTGGTAACCACCGTTCTGCTTCCACTCGCTCTGCCTCCAGTCTTTCTGGAAGTTCTGCATCTCATCACGGTTAAGAGGAACCGGGTTGTTGCCCAGCGCGTTTTCGAGACGGCCCTGGCGGCGCTGACGCAGGCAGAAGAATAAGAAGGCTGCGATACAAGCCGCACCGACGACGGCGGCGCCAGCATAAACTCCAATGTGGGCCCCTTGGCCAAGATCATCCCATTTCTCTGATAAAGACTTGGCCGCTGGCTTGTTCAGTTCCTCCGTCACGGTCGAGTTTCCGCTATTACGTCTTATTAGTGATAGTTAGGGTGATTCTAGCCTGGGCATACTTACTCCGCCACTTTGATGCTCTGCCAGGAACCTGAGTGGTCCCCGTAGCTGTACTCCTTGCCAGAGTGGAAATCCTTAACGCGCAGCTTGCCGAGGGTCATAGTGAAAGGGGCGGAATTCCAGTCGACAAGGCCACCAGCCCACTCGATAGTACCCTTTGCCGCCTTTTTCTGTCCAGCAGGCCACAGACTGAATTGGACACGGCAGGGGGTCTGCGGGTAGTTTTCGCCGAACAAGGCGGACTTGTCGGAGTAGGGGAGTTCGCGAACCATTTCGCCGTCAATCCACCATTGGAGTTTATCCTGGTCCCAGTATGTGGTGTAGTTGTGGAACTCGGTGTCTGCGTTCGCGACGTAGTGCTTTCCGCCGCGATCGTAGCTGGTATCGTTACCTTTGCCAAAGAAGTTGGACTGCACTTCACTAGTGTTGTATCCCACCCATTCCCAATCGATCTCATCCAGATCATCAGACTCCAAGACCACACTGCTGACTAGGCCTCCGCCCTTGGCCATCTTCACGTGAGCTTCGACGACGCCGAAGAAGATATAGAAATTGGACTGCAGGAGGGTGGACTCTCCCTCCTTGGAGAGGGTGAACTGGGCTCCATCGTCATCGTGCTCGTAGGTCCCGGTGGCCATATTCCAGACCTTGTCGTCTAACGTCGTGTTGAAGTTCCATGTGTGTTCAGTGCCAAAGGCGGGATCCGCAGGACATGATTTCTTCGTCGGGTCACAATCAGTCGAGGTTTGAGCCGTGGCGTAGCTAGCCAAAGCTGCTAGAACAGCAATGTGAGAGAAAAACATGGCGGGCTGATGTATAAAAAAACGATTGCTTAGAGCGCTGCTGTTGGACCGTCCAAAAAAAGGAGTGGACTCGAGACTACTCGAGATTCGATAAAGAGTGGATGTGCGAGTGCACGGTAATGAGTGTGAGGCAGTCTGCCAGCAGCGAGCTAAGAGTTTGTTGAAGAAGGGAATATCAAGAAAACGGGGGGAAATCAGCCACGACGGTCCAATTTAGGCGCAGAGTGGACTCAGCACATTATGGGGCTAGTGGTGTTTTGGGCCTGATTATTATTATGTGCACCGTTGTTAAGCGTAAGGGGAAAGCTGCAGAGATTATGGTCAAGTTTGCTAGCCCATCTAGGTTAGGGGGTTCCATTTTGGCGCATCCAACTAACCTTATTGGGCTATCCCCAGGGGCCCTGTGCATGAGGCTAAACCACTTTGGGTTCGCCCAGTGTTTCCCGCTACAACCAGTTTGAGACGGGCGATTCTGATTGGCCGGAACTTACCCACCGATTGGCTGATCGCCAAGAACCCTGATAAGGATCGAACTCCATGGATTGGTAGGGTCCAACCTTGGAATAATATACGCTGCACTCTACTTCGTAGGCTATACGATATTCATTAGTATGTTATTCTTTGTTTCATTATCAGAAATCTCTTGACTCAAATGCAGCATAAGACTAGTTGGTTAGTGCACGCCCAGGCCATTCGAGGGTGAATTACTGATGCAATGAAGATCAAAAGCCCAGTTGATAACAGTCGCCACGGGGTAATAACTCCAAGATTGGACTCAGTACAGATCATCATGCATGTGCCCCTTGAACTCAACATTCGGGAAATCATAGCAACTGGATGACAATGACCTATTTCCGGAGTTCACCAGTTCCTCAGAACCTGTTACAACATACCAAACTAAATTATACGGAACCTCCGCTCAGGGGGTCCAATAAAAAAGCCACCAAGAAGCCTAGTCCACCCCCCAGTCAATGGGTGGAGATGTTGAGCGCCCGGATTTTTCTTTCTTCTTTTTTCTGTTCTTTTCCCCTGTGGGTCCTTTCCCCTGTCTTGCCTTCCTGCACACCCACTCATTAATGCACTTTCCCATCGCGCGAACGATACTAGCTTAATGAACTAAAGGCCTACGCCCTCTTATTCGCCGAAATAGCGAGGTGACGGGTGCGGCATCTCGTGTGATCGCCGTTAGATGGATTCAACTTTGTCAGCTCAAAGTTCTATTAGGGGTAATTCTGATCGATCGAACGCCACGGCTCGGCGGTGACACACAGCCAAGTCCTACTAGACCAGGCCAAGGAATGCAGTCCATCACCACTCAGGTACCCGTCAGCAAGCTGTCCAACTGGATTATGTAGACATCCAGCCACATGTGCAGTGTGGATTACGGAGCACAAGGGCTAAAACATAGACCATGCACTGAAACCCGAACTCAGGGGGTTGGCATCCAGAACTGGTTTTCAATTCAAAACAAAGCAAGCATCACACGCACAGACCAGGCAATCCAACAATCATTTCTCATCACATCATAGTTAAAAGCTCGCAGTCATATGTATGTCATGTCTCATAATTACTTGGCTCCATCAAACATATCCATCCCTGGCCCACCCATTCCTTCGAGAAATGGTCAAAACAAAAATAGCAAACGCCTGTGCCAATGGATATGTTCAAGACGAATGGCAAATACCAATGAACCCACTCCAGCCATTCCACAAGTCTTATGTATATTCCCCACCAACCATGGTTCAGGGTTCCGTCATATAAACCTTAGCTGGTCGGCGCAAATCATCGCGATCCCTATACCGGCGTGCGCTGCGTACACTAGTCGGCTTCTCGACATAGTCCACGTAGGTCGCGGACGGGCGGCGGCGTTGTCGCTGTCCGCGGCTACTCGTGCTGCTGCGAGTAATTGGAGGCCGGTAGCCGACGTCAGGTGTATCGCCCCCGCTCCACGCACCGGGAAGTCGGAATATTCGCCACAGCCAAAGAATGAGGAGGGTCCCTGCGATCGAGCCGATAACGATACCCGCGATCCCACCGCCGCTGATTGTGCTTGGGCAGTTATCGCCGCTTGACTGCCGCGGCTCGAGAATGGAATTTATAGGAGCCTAGGGAAGCGAAATTATTAGCTTTTATGAGTTCTATAGTATGCGATCCGTGGATTTTTGTTCGGCCCGCGCGGGTTTTGCTTGGGTGAGCCATGGAAGAATACTTCAGCAGCGTCCATGGAAACCTTGGAAATGCACCTACCATAACTGCAGCGTGTCAATGCTTTTGATCTGATATCGGGGAATTTAAATTCTCAGTCCCTGGTGGCTGGCAATTGTATGTATGCAGAACAGTGGGTCTCGATGTGGTCTTGACTCCAGCATCCAAAAAAAGCTTGGGTATAAATGATCAAGACGAAATCACCCACACAGCAGATGACAAAAGAGGAGAACAAGAATTGATTAGAGCCAGACTCTCACTTCTTATAAAAACCGGATCCGAGTCTCACAATTCCCCTCTTAATTGCGCACTCCAACCTCCTCTTATCCCGCTTCTGACGTCAAGGGGACCTCGGTCTTGGCGGCTTGAAAGAGCAGCGATCTTCCATTTCGCACAGCACAAACTTGGAATTTAGTTCATAATCCTTGTATCCTGCAATTATTGGCTGCTTACTTTCATTGTCCTCGTAATTCCAGGTCAAATCCTGTCAATTGAGGATATTGGACCGACTGTACGGAGTACCAAGCCTCGTAGCAAACCCACATGCATTCGCCTAGGTATGCATGTCACACATGAAAAATCTTGTCAACATGACAAGCGAAGAATAAATGCAACGGGCACGACTCGGGCCATGAAGTAGATAAATGCCCAGAAAAAGCCCGAGAGACTAAATGAGTTATCATTGTAGTATATTTGGATGTGATGATCTGTTGCAGGTAATAAATCGGCGGCTCATCTTGAACAGGCTCAAGTGTGAAACATTATCCAGCCTACTATACGGACTAATCCTTGTCCAACCGCACATGCCCGGGAGAAGGCGGAACCTTCCTAGTCTCCCACGCCTTCAAATTATCCCCAAAATCAAATATAATCGTTCCATCATTTGTCATAACATAAATGTCAAATTCGATGACGTGTTGGGGGAGTTTAGAGCTTGCAATGAAGTCCCGAAATTAGCAACACTAAGCAAATAAGTGGAAGCTTAAATACCTCGCTACGTAGATAAACACAAAGCATACAGAGAACAAAAAGCCCCCCTCGAAGTTCGGCTTTCGGCTGCAAACTAAGCCTTGCATAGGCTCTGCCCTTTCATTTATATCTGAAACCTCGGTTCTAAGCCCTGGCCCCTTGATCAGTGTATCGTACTAATAGAAACATATATATAATAGCTCTTGTGTTTTTAGATTGGGATGTAATATAGCCATTCTAGATAACATATGGCCGATTACTTTAGAAGATATAGAGGATTTAATAACGCGGTCTTTTCTCAGCAAGAGCTCTCGATCAAAGCGCTGGATATTAGTAAGACGATGCATAACCGCTAGTATCATTATGTCAATAAGTCTTTACACGTTGTTTAGATCTCTTTTTGATATTTCTTTTATATTCCGATAAATATGTGTCAGTTTTACCATATACATTAGAAATGGGGAAGTTAATATTGATTCTATGTATGGCTTTGCGAAATACGGGAGGATTCTTCGGTGCTTGTGCCTAAAGAGTGCGTCATGGTGTGGCCTTGGACATGCAACCCCTCTATAGATAGATAGTTTGGGCCAATAAAAAACTCACTCTCTTTTGTCCCTCGATCCTATATACTATAACCCCTAGATTATGAAGTGCAAGCATGTATGAGCAATTCTACATCAGCACTAGATACCAGGGTTTATCTCGGGGGGTAGGGGCGGGGTAAAACTCTTGAACCAGGGCGTCCAAAATTACAACTCGGAAGTAGATTGTGAGAATTTATAAGAAAGGCCGATATTGACAGCTTCTATATTTATATCGTCTTATATCTAAGCATCCAACAGTTGCATCAGTTCCCTTCCAAGACGATTCTAAGAAATCCTTCACGTCCTCAGTTTGATTTCTGGGAAATTCTTATTCAACGAATGCGGGGTATTCGAGTCAATCTCTTTATTAACAAACGACATTCCAGTGGTGGAGAGCAGAGCTTGAATACTGGCTTTGGGAACTTGGAAAATCTCCTCATAACTAGGAAGTATGGAGACCCTTCCAAAAAATAATAATGTACTTCTCTAATTCCGAACCGATTTCCGGTAAAATATTCCGACTTATATTCCGAATGTATTTTGACAGCCATATCATAATCCCTGTCGATATTCCGAACTTATTTCCTAGAATGGTAATTCCTAATCCAGAGGCTAGCAGGGTTGTATTTATTCGCAAGCTGACAATACCAACCATCCTTTAGACAACTTTGGGAGAACACATCGATTAAAATGACGATATTACTAGGATTTATTCCATCGATGCCTTTATCATGTGCAAACGTCAATCCGGTGCTTAGCTGGTGTATACTTCTGGTGTTACTTGTTAGTTATCACAAACAACTGTGCCTAGATAGTTTCTAATAGTGACAATTTTAGGGCGTTATTTATTTAGCCGGAGGGGTTATCTACAACCTTTACTTTCACCCTCTGGCATCCTTTCCCGGACCCAAAGCCAATGCAGCCACATCGCTCCCCTTCTTTCGATCCGTATTGGGTGGCAGCCTGCCAATGGATGCACAAAAACTACATGAAAAGTACGGCGACACAGTCCGTATCGCTCCAAATGAAGTGACGTTCACGAATCCCGAAGCGTGGAAAGAAATATTCGCCATTCGCCCCGGCAAACCCCAGCGCCCAAAGGACCAACGTCATGTTTCTGTTGGGCCGAACCACATCCCTAGCATCCTTCGAACCGACGATCTAACCCACGCCCGCTATCGACGTTCACTGTCTCATGGATTCTCAGAAGGCAGTCTTCAGCGCCAGGAAGTTATAGTTAAGGGCTATGTCGACTTGTTGGTTCAACGGCTGCATGGACTTGCCGAGTCCGGTAGTGTCACTGTTGACATGACATGCTGGTATAACTATACCACATTCGATATTATCGGTGATCTCGCATTTGGAGAATCGTTCGGGTGCCTCCAAAATTCGCAGTATCATTTTTGGGTTTCGGTCATTTTCAGTCATTTCCGCACGGCCGCTTGGGCGAACGTTCTTCGGCGTGTCCCCGCTGGGAACTTCCTAATGAAATGGATCGTTCCAAAAGAGGTCCGAGAGCAAAAGAAACATCAGAATAGTATGACAAAGGAGAAAGTAAAGGTGCGCATGGCTAATGGGGACAACGGACGCCCGGACTTCCTCAGTAACGTGCTCAAGCAACCTCTTGAGAAGGGAATGAGCGAAGATGAGCTTGTCAGCAACTCTTATGTGCTCATTATTGCAGGCTCGGAGACTACTGCCACTTTATTGTCCGGTGTGACCTATTACATACTCACTGTTCCTGGTGTTCTTGACAAACTCAAAGCAGAGATCCGAGGTGGATTCACTTCCGAGGACCAGATCACCTGGTCTGCTGTTAATCAGCTAAATTACACACTCGCTGTTCTGAACGAAAGTCTCCGGATGTATCCTCCTGTCCCGTATGGGTTCCCACGAATGGTCGAGGGCAAAGGTGATTTTATCTGCGGGAGATGGATACCTGGAGGAGTAAATTACACTTTGATATATTGAAGTGATGTCCAAAAGCTGACCCATTGTAGACGGCTGTTGGAGTACCAATACTAGCAGCTCATCGTTCTGCAGCAAATTTCAAGAACCCCGATGCTTTCATTCCGGAGAGGTTCATGGGTGCCTCCGAATTTGAATCCGACAATAGAAATGCACTGCAAGCTTTCAGCGTGGGGCCACGCAACTGCCTCGGTCGCAAGTAGGACTTGTCCTAGAAAATGTAAAATGCCTAGTTACTGACCATAATTAGTCTTGCATACGCGGAGATGCGATTGATCCTGGCCCGGATGATCTGGAATTTTGATATGGAAATTTCTCCCGATTCTAAGCAATGGATCAAGCAGCCCTCATTTGTTGTTTGGGAGAAAGGTAGTTTGAATGTGAAGTTGGCCCCGGCACCTCATACTATTGGGGTGAAATAGGGGCTTTCACGTCGGAATAGTATTTCAATTATCCTAAACTAGCATTGAGTAGAACAAGACTCAACTCTAGAACGTCTTTACTTCTGTTTTTTGGAACTCTAAATGACATACAATACCTAGGTGGCATAGCCTAGGCGCTAGACTATAAGGTACATTCTTGGACCAGTTTTTAGGAAATGGTGTAAGTGGTGTTGCTGCGCAGGTCTCGACTGCTTGAACCAACCCAAAAGGTGTACCTTCCCTTGGCGATGACCCAGGTCTGAGAGTATACATCCCAATAGCTCAGATCACGACGGCGTAGATTGAAGCTGACGGTGTCATATTCTCCTTTGCGAAGGAATATCTTCTCAAAGCCGCGCAGTTGACGGGGAGGTTGCTCGGCCTCGTCGGGGAAACCCACGTATAGGTGAGCGACCTCGGCGCCATCAACATTTCCGGTGTTTTTGATCCGCAACTGCAAATGCATCACGGTATCCCACAGGTCTAATTGACCTCCAGGAGCCAAGGCAGCCTGAGGGGCTGTAAGTCCCAGCGCAGCTTCGTTGACATATGAGATGGATGGGATTGCGGCGTACTCAAAGCTGGTGTACGAAAGACCAAATCCGAATTTGAACCGTGGGGAAATTTTGTGTTTGTCGAAGTACCTGTAGTCGAGGTACACGACTTCAGTGAAAGCACACTCCGCGGTGAGACAGACTTTGACTGGATAATTGTTCTCATTTTTAGCGATGGTGTGGGCGAGGCGACCCGAAGGATTTACATGACCATAAAGCACATTGATGATAGCCTGGCTTGATTGTTCACCGAGAAGTGATGAATAGACAACGGCCGTGACATTGGGATGCTCAATCCAGGCATCCAAAAGACGGGCACCCACTGTGGTCACAGAGACGATAGTGTTGTCAGAGACGATAGTGTTGTTGCAGTTGTTGGCCACTTTCAGGATCATATTGTCTTGGTCGGTATTGGAAAGTTCTGTTCGGTCGTTACCTTCGCCACTCCACGCGTTGATGAATAGAAGACAGGTCTCAGCTGCAGTGGCATAACCCTCTAACGTGCTGGCAGCGGCTGTGCCGCTGGTGCCTATGACTGCTATGTAGTCTGTAGAAGTCAAGATATCATTCATGGCCCACATCAGCTGAGTTCCGTCATGGAGGGCTCATTGCAAGAGAGCATCATATGGCGTAACAACATATGAAGGACTGCTCAAGCCAGAGCCTCCGCTGTAACTCAGATGACCATCCCAAGTTGAATGAAGATGAACGTCATCAAATGTACTTCCAGGACCAATCAATACAGGCCTAGCATTTGCACCAAAAACGGAGATCAAACGAGGCTTAACCAAGGGCAATGAGCCGACATTTTTGAGAAATGAGATAGATTCTGCTCCGGCCTTCCAAATCAATTCTCGATGATTTCTCCGCACATCGATGAATTCAGTCGATGTAGCCAGCGGCAACTTCATTTGCTCGTCGATTCCCTCATGGAAATATGGCATCAGATTGCGTACGCATGTCATCAATTTGTTCTTGGCTCAGATTTCCATTGGCAATTGCCAATAATAAGCTCTCATCCGATCAAAACTCTGTAGAACCAAAGCCAAGTCCACCGTTGGCAGATCCAAGGGCTGTGTGTTGGCCAGAAGTATCTGAGACAACAAACCCAGGGAGCGCCAACTCGGTTTTCAGAAGGCCATTGAGCAGGGGGGTATTCTCACAGCCTCAGCTACCGTTCACCCTCTTCATGGCGCACATGATGGCACCCAGTCCGGATTTCACACCGTCATAGAAAGGCCATAGATAAGTCTTATGGATAGTTTTGCCGTCTGCATTGCTGGAATATGCAGTGTTGTTTCTAGGGTAAGTTACAGCATTGTTGCCCCAGTACGCCTCGGATCGATTGGTCTCTTGCTCATTCAAAAGGAAGTGTTTACCGCAAGGAATGATGCCTGCAGCTCGTAGGCCCTCAACCGCCAGGCCGAAGTTGATACAGGCGAGATATGAGTCCTGCCCAAGGGTTTCAACCAGGCGACCACTCCAAGGTGTTCGGCCTTGAGGATTTGTCGTAGGCCCATTGATCAGATTGTAGCCCTTGCCACGAAACTCTTGGCCAACAGCGTGGAACTGAGACTTGACGAGATCTTTATTCCATGTCTGGGCGATAGCCGACGACTCAAGAAAGGCAGATACGTAAAAGTAGTTCTCGATGCCCTGAAATCCGTCGTTCATACGCAGAGCAGTAAAGTTGATGGAAGGAACGTCTTGTCCAGTGACAAGCAAAACTTTGTCGGAATTCGACATGGCAGCAACAAGCGCAATAGATTTATCGTATGCTGTGGTCCAGTCTTTGAGATCGACTAGAGCCAATGCCATAATATTAGCATTTGGCATCTACAAAAGCCAAATATTCGCATCGTATCGAGTAGACCGCCCGAAGCAAGCGCACCACTTGTGAAGTGAAGCCATCCCAAAACCCCGACCAAAAAGCCTGGCTCTTGGTGCCTATGTTTCATTTTTTGCTGAATTCAGTGATAAAAGGATATTATCGGTTGAGTCATACGGCAAGAATGAGAATTTCACACGAACTATATAGACGTAAAGCCAGGTACTGTTATCGCGGCAAATTGACCGTGTAGCTACATCAGCCAAGAAACTTCAAATAAAACTTGGTTTAAGGTTCTGTCCTATCTGGTTACTAAATCATGCAACTTCACTTTTAGCACCTAAACAGATATCAAAGCAGCGGAAAGACCTAAGCCGCCGAGATAACCCACGTGTCTCCTCACGAAGAGCAAGGTTTAAGTTTGATAAATATGGGCATTGTGACAGGGCGGGCTCCTTGGGTCATTTGGAGCAAAATAAGAATTAGGAGGAAAGTTGTTTATTGGCCAAAGCCCTATCGTATGTGTATCTTCTGATCCGGAACAGGGCCACTCCACCAAGCTTCCTATGTACATGTACTCGGCGATATTAACAAGTTCAAATCGATGAGCGACTAGGTTATTTGCTAGCACTCGCAAAGAGACCCCCAGGTTCTCTCCCTTTGTTCCTCAATCAAATCATAACATTTCGATATGAAGAATTTAGTACATTTCAAGTTTCTATCTATACTTCATTTTTGTATTATTTTCTCTCCGTTGGCAGCAACGTCGGGAACTTCGGGAACATCGGGAACTTCGGGAACATCGGGGAAAGTGATCCGATACCGCTTGCAGATTAGCGGGAAGGAAATACCCTTTCGAAATAAACAAAATTTATTTCGAAAGGGTGAAAGAAGTCCGGTCCATGGTTACCTGTTTTGGTGATACCCGTGCAGAATCGAAGAAACCTCATTGCTTCGCTGAAAAATGTACTACTAGTGGCGGCTCGAATTACCTCGTGGACTTCTGGAATATGGCAGCCAAAATATTTGTCCCGGAGAAGGAAGTTCTTGACAGCATGTTCGTCAGAGATGCCTTAGTGCTCGAGAACTATGGCGAGGACAAGGCCACATCTACCACCACCTACAATTGCAATATCTGGTGCCACAGTATCGAGTTGGGGATTTCAATGGCAGGGGCGGGGAATTCTCAATTAAGGGACCAGCAGGAATTGATATGACTGTGGTACTCCATTTTGTTGTGATTAAAAAGTCGTTGTCCCTAGAAAGAAAAATCCCGCACTTGGAAAGTGCATTCAATACTAGCGTTTGCCAAGGGGCTGAAAGAGCGAGGTATAGTGGATAGTTAGACTCCGAACATAAGTTTAAAACCTTGAATACCCAGAAATTACCCAAACCTCGAGTCGCTGCTGATCTTTTCTGTACATACCAATTATTTCTGTTGATCTCTCTAGAAAGCCGGTGGAACGCCATTTAAATTATATTTTATTTCAAGTTCAAAATGAGACCGGCTTCTCGGCACATCGGCTCAGGGAAATTCGGGTATAGTTGATGGGTTTAATAATTGGGAGGCCTCAATTGTTGTTGTAGAAAAGAATCGTCCTCCATATCTTATCAATGTGCAGCCAAATGGGAAGAGACAGATTAGAGCTCCGCAAATCCCATAAAGCACATAGTCCGGCCCAACCCAACCCGTAAATGGGCTGGGCTTTGGGCCCTACCTTCGGGCCTACCGGTGGGCTATGGGCCAGGAGAAGCCCACTGCGGGTTAATGGGCTCCTAACTGGGCCCTAAATAGTACAAATATGCCGAGAATTCAAAATGTCAAGTAAAGTTGAACCCCCCTTTAGGGATTAGAAAATTACCCTTCATTTTACCCCCGTTTCTCAGCCTTATTCTAAAGGTAACATTTTATTTGTTTAAATGATTTAGAATCAATTACTTGTTATCTCTCTATATCACGTTTAAAAGTGCGAGAAAGCGCGTTATATAGACAATTTATAAATTACAGAAGTTCACTTAGAAAGTAGTAGAGCTGCTTCTATATGAATCCAAAATATATATCTTGTCAAAATATTAATATTAACCTTTTTCGCGGTATCTCGGCCTCTACTAATCGGATTTTATTTAAAATTAAGATATATACTTATATAACTAGTAGAAGGGTTAGAATATAATATTGTATAGCGATTATAAGATGCTGGGTAAACCCCCCTCAATAGGCTTTGATGGGGGCCTTATAGGCCCCCACGAATGGGCTGTGGGTTGGGATATGCTTCGAAGGTTAGGCCCACAGCCCACTGCTGGTTGGGCTTTGCGGAACGCCAAGATAGATTATCACCTACCATGGAATTCGTACGAAATGAGTCGCAAAGGGATTGAGGTCGATATAGAACCTCACACCCAAAGAACAAATACTGGAAGGTTACGAGAACAGAAGACCAGAAAAATACCAGAAATAAATGTACAGCGATTTCGCCAGAAAACCTGACCTAAAGCCAATATTGGAGGAGAAATTTGGAAAAGCAGAACCGGGCTCCGATCGGTACAAAGACCTTTGTTGCCTAGCTATTAAAGTTGATTCTTTCTCGCAATGCCTTTCTTTATAAATACAAAATAGTCTCTACCACCATGTTGCAAATATTCGCCGGTCCAAAGATAACGGACGAACAGCGCGGAAACTTGTCGGCATCAAGGTAGCAAGAATTGAACGCTTAGCAAGTGCCGGAAGGTGCATTCTTGCACACATCCGCCTTACCGCCAGACACTGCAACCTTAGTCCAAGTCCAGCCTGAGCAACTGGCAGAACTTCCACACTCGATGGTGATATCGGTACCCTTGGATGTGACCGTGCCGTGCACATTGTTCAAGGTGAGACCAGTGATTGGAACCCCGGTCGTGGGGCTTCCAGTGTAGCCAGAGTTGGTGTAGTCTTGGCGGATGGTGATTCCCTGGCTCGTAATGCCGGAGAGGGTAATATCCTGGAAAGTCACGCCTTTGATAGTACCGGTGGCACCAGAGACAGCCTTGACACGGACACCTGACAGAAATATCAGTTCAAGAAACGGGAAAACTTAGTCATTATGCGGCTCGGGCTTACCATTCTGAGAGTTGACGACCTGGGTGCTGCTGATATGGACGGTCTCTACCACATTATTGGAACGGCCACCGACTGAGCCGATAGACAATCCGTGCCCACCAGAGCAGTAACCCCCGGAAAAGACAATGTTCTGGGTATTAATGGTCAGCAAGAACCGTGGTAATCATTCCCTGCAGCTAGGCAGGGCGACAATCTTCGAGCACTTACCGTTCCAGAATTGATAGCAAGGCAGTCGTCTTGGTTATAAACCGTAGCACCAGTGATGGTAATGCTATCACTGTCGCCGATATCGAACCCATCGGTATTGTGACCAAGAGAGTTCGTATCACCATTCTTGTTGTCAATTGTGACACCACTGATTGTGAGACCGGACGAGCCAGAGATGCTGAAGACCTGAACGGGAGAATCCTTGATGTTCAACCCGGTGATAGTGGAGGATCCCTTGAGACTGTGGGCGAAGAAGAACTTAGGCTTGATGTTGGTCTTGCTGTTGGAACCCTCTCCGTCCCACCAGCGGGAACCTTGGCCATCGATGAGGTGACCGGAAGCTCCAGAAACTTGGATGTTGGTTCCAGAGATGGAGATCAGAGGGCCAGCCCACTGCTTATAGCCGAAAGTAGTGGTTCCCTCAAAAATCACCTACAAAATTTTCAGTAAATTCGCTGTCGGTAGAGCAAGAGAGTCACGGGTTTGGAGGGAGTTTTTACCTTGGTACCCGAGGCCAGACCAGTCAAATCCAGCGTAGTCCCGGCAGGCACTACAACGTTGTTGAGAGTAATACTGGAGCAACCTGCCTTTCCAGCTATCGCTGCTGCTGCACCACTGGCTCCCGAATAGCTGCATGCAGATCCACGAGGGGTGAGTCTGCTCCCTTCAGCCAGTTCGGCAACCGGAGAGGCGAGGGCCAAGGACGCTGAGCCCAGAAATCCCAGAACAACACTGCGTGTCAAGATCATATCGACGGAGACTAAATACTTTGAATTGAATAAAAACCGGTGATGAAGATACTGGATGCTTTTCAGTAGATAGGAATGAAGTCTTATATAGTTTTCTTTTCTCTTCTTTCTTTCAATCCGCAGCCGATTCGCGGGAAATTTCCTTTCCACGCTCCCTAGCTCGAGTGTGCTACTGGTAATCCCAATACCCCTTTCGGTTTATTGAACCAAGACATTGCAATCTATTTGAGTTTGTGCTTATTCTTCTAAAGTTTAAATATCTTAAAAGCTGTTAGTTGAGTGGAGAGATTGCTGAAGAACACAGAGCGTAGCCACACTTCCTGGGGAGAAATGTCTTAAGGCTGCCGAATTATCGCCAGGGGCTGGAAGTTTAAAAAGAATTAGCTCGAGTTTGAAACGAGACACGCTCGGAAATATGAAAGGAATACGAGGCTTATTTCCTATCCGAATCTGCCGGGAGGAGCCGTACAAGGGAAAGAAGGCTACAATACTCCGTACTCTATGTAAAATTGCAGCTTTCTAGTTCTCCGAGGTCTTTGAAGCGAAAAAGAGGCTCTAATTCCATTCTGGGAATATTTGTGCACTTTTTATGAACTCGTACTGGTTGAGGGCCTGGATGGGATTCGCAACATTGTGGGTTGACCTCGCCACAACACGCCACGGGGCCATAGAAAGAAGCTTTGTCGTTAGTGGATCTTAGGAATCGGCTAAGAGTTTACCTCCTATAACTATCGCGATAGTAGAAGCGATAGCGCGAAGGTTAAGTTAGGATCTCCAATATAGTTAATATCATAATTATTTATGTAATGAGGATATAGTTATACCTTGTTCACGCATGCGACTTTTGGCCATTATGCCCCTTCGCAAGCCACTTCACTAAAACAGAATCTCCTAGGTCTTGATTTATCGCGACTTCGATCAAAAAGATGAAGAGTTTATACTTTGTCCAGATTAGAAGGTTAATCTATGTGTACCGTTCGTTCTTGACCACCTCCTTCCTGATCGGAAGACGACCCGAGTCCGAAAGATGTCCAAAATACCGCAGATCCTTTCGCATGATTATGTCTCACTGAGGCGCCAATCCAGTCGAACCGTAAGTATCCACCAAAAGGATTGCCTGGACCTGACTATACCACGTGAGTTTTCTTACCGCTTACGCCGCTACTTTTAAAAAGTAACTGTCAGCGGTCACTTTAGCATCGGTAGTAAAGTAGCGAGGAGGGGGCATTAAAACGCAAAATAAGCAAGATCCTTCAGCAGACTAGATTCTCTACAATAGCTACATGTAGATAGTCTTAGAGGTCAAGGATTTTGTAGATTGAGTGTAATATGACCGAATTTTGGAAATCGACCCACACCCCGGGTTTGGTACCAATTTGGGGTTGAGAAGCTTACTTGTACGGAGTACTCCGTAAGCAGAACAAATATATTCACGGATCCTGCGGATGAGTGGGTTTCGAGCATTTGCAAATGGCCGAGACCGGGAGGTGGACAAGGTTGTTCCTGGCTATTATTGGCATCCGTGGACTTTGTTCTGGAACATCAACACAGAGTGTCCAACGAGATTGTGGAGTTATGAAAACGTAAGGCACAATTTTAGATGAAGCGTACGTATCCTCTCTAGTTATTGCTTGAGTACTTAGGGACGTGCTCAATTTTACTCCGTGACCAAAAAGTGGCAAGAAGTGAGCACTAAAACAGAAGGGGAAAAGATTTTGAGTACCAGGCATTTATCCGGTACATATGTGAAGATGTACTCAAGGTCTCATTTCTAAAGTGCACAAGCATGATTGTAAAACGGAAAATGTCCAAAACTCCCCGGCCCATGATATCATCGAAAACAGCAGCATACAACCCTATTCATCCAGGTAAGACTGAAAGCCAAGAATCACCACACGGTATTTCATCTTCAGCCATTATCGACCGGTGATATAATCCCGGTTCTCGATCGTTACACTCTTAGTCATGTGGTTGACCTTGTAGACACCGACCAGTCGAGCAGCAAGCTCGAACTAAAGAACGTGTTAGCTATGTCAACTTAGAAGCGAAATCAAGGGCACCTACCATATTATTTCTCAATGAAATGACAATGAATTGGGCATTCTTCGTTCGCTCCTTGATGTATGAGGCGACAATGGAAACCTTAAAAAGAAAGTTAGTACTCGTGTCCGTCACAAGTCATATAAGACCAACTCACATTCCGGAAATCCAGGGCGGCATCGATCTCGTCCATGACATACAGCGGAGTAGGCTTGTAGTGGTGAAGAGCGAAGACAAGCGCCAAACTGGACAGAGTCTTCTCTCCGCCAGACAGGTTACCAATGTTCTTCCAGCTCTTCTTGGGAGGCATGACCGAGAACAGGATGCCTTCCGAGAAGGGATCCAGTGAGTCGACGAGCTCCAACTCAGCGTTACCGCCCATAGTGATCATCTGGTACATCTCTTTGAGGCGCAAAGAGATAATGCCAAAGCCTTCCATGAATCCATTCAAGCGAGAAGATCGAAGCCCGTCCAGGCGTGCCTTGGCACCATCTCGTGATGTCAAAGCGGTGGTCAGATCTGCTGAGCGTGATTCGTGCTCGGCGGCTCGGCGGCGGTACTCCTCGATGACCGACAAATCGATGGAGGCATTTTGAACTTTCTCCTCCAAAGCAGCAATGGCGGCTTTCAGAGAATCCTTATTCATAGCCTCAAGCTCATCCTTGGTGTACATCTGAAGTTCGGTGGGCTCCTGCTCTTCACCAATATCGCTGATGTTCTGGACACTCAGTTTTGAAAGCTTCTCCTCCCAGTAATGACTGCGCTTTTGGTTCTCAGCCAAGGCCTTCTGGTTCTCTTCTAGTTTATTGCGCATCTCGATCTCAGCAGCTCTCGTCTCATTGAGCTCAGCCACCTTTGCGTCAAGCTCGTCCTTCATGGCCTTCAGCTCGCTCTTTTTAGATTCCAAAGCCTAAGGATGGTCAGCAGCAAATTCAGTATAGTCGAGGATCTTGGATAAGTCACCTCCTGGGCTTCGTCGGCCTTCTGTCTCCAGTCGGCAGATTCGTTGGTCTGGTTGGCAACATCTTCTTCTAGTTTCTCCAACTCATCCGTGATCTGACCAATCTCCTTCTCTGAAATGTCGCGGGCTTTGGTGTGCTTCTTGATGAGTTTTTCGTTCTTGGACTGCTGCCCCTCCGCGTTGGAAATTTCCTCGGCAAGCATGCTAATCTGCTCTTTCAAGCCATCCACCTTCGCCTTTTGGCCGCGAAGCCGAACACCACCGACCTCCATGATCTTGCTCTGCAAGGTCTGGATCTCTTCCTCAATGCCACTCTTCTCGTCATTGAGTTTAGCGATCTCCTTTTGGGCCTTGGCAATCTGTTTCTCGAGGGCAGCAATTTGGACTTCATCTGAATCAGATGGCTGGTGCTGTGCGCTCAGCTCCTTGACTCGTCGCTGGGCATCAGCAAGGCTGCGCTTAGTACTGTCGATCTCAATCATAATCTTTTGGATCTTAGTGTCCAGGCGTGGGATTTCCTCCGATCTTTCCTTCATCTGAGCCTCCACATGTCGCTGCTTCTCCTGGAAAGCCTGGAATTTCCTTTCCAGATCCTCGAGATCTGATTCCAAGCGAGAGACCTGCTCCTTAGTGGTGTCCGCAACTTGCTTTGACGACATACCGCCTCGGGCGACACGTGTGCCACCACCGCTCATTGTTCCTGACACATCAATCAACTGGCCATCTTCTGTCACCACTCGCCACCTGCGAGCACCATAGGCAATACGATTTGCCTGCTCCAAGTCCTTGGCAACCAACGTGTTTTGCATCACGCTGTAGAAAGCTGGGGCGAACTTGGGATCCTTTGGCTTGACAAGATCGAATAGACGAGGAACACTTTCCGGCGTGTAGATCGTTGCCATATCACGACGGGGAAGGCGGTCAAGAAGAATGAAGTTCGCTCGACCAAGGTTGTTCTTGCGCAAATAGTCGATGCATTGTTGGCCAACTTCGACAGTTTCCACCACCATGTTGTCGAGAGCAGGACAAGCTGTAGAAATAGCGACATCATACTTCTCGTCAATTGTGCCCAGGTTACCAAGTCGGCCATGGAAACCATCGATACGGCCAGACTCCTTGAGACGCATCAACCCAGTCAAGACACTTCCGCGGTTTTGTGTGCTTGCAAGACTGACTCGTGCCTCGTCTGCTTTTTGGCGGGCACTTGAGACATGCGAACGAACCTCGGGTTCACGGCCGGCGTATTTCTTCAAGTCGTGTTTAAGCTTCTCCACTTCAAACTCCAAGGTCTCTTTCTGGGCTTGTCGCTCTTCGAGATCGTTTTGCTTAGCTTGTAGACTCTCTTCGATTGTAACAATCTTGCCCTGTGCCTCTTCAAGAAGGACAGCGCCAGCATTGCCACGCTCGCGCAAGATATCCAGTTCACTCTGAGCTACCGCGACTGCAGACTGTTTCTCGTTGATTTTCGCATTCCACGGCTCCAGTGACTTCTGTTTCTCGGCAATCTGATCAGATAGGCCCTGCGTCTTGCCTTTGAGCCCCTCGCGAATTGAGTTTAGTTCCTTCTCTTCTGTCACCATCTCCTTTTCGAATTGAGTGGTTTCAGCAGTCTTCTTCTCAATGTCGTAGGTAAACTTCTCGACCAAGCTCTGGCATTCAGAAGCAGCAAGACGACTAGTCTGCATGGCTTTCTCTAGCTTCTTCTGTTTGCCGAGCAAGAATTTCTTCTTCTCCTCAAACTTGACAGACTCCTTGTCATACTTGGCCATCTCCTTGAGCAAGTTCTGAGTCTCCTTCTCTATCGACTCGTAATGACGAACCCCCTTTTTGTAGGCTTTTTCGAGTTCTTTGATACCGGATTCGTTTCCCTCGTGTTTCTCGAGTTCCATGTTGAGTAGCTCCTGCATTTGGAGAATGGCCTCTTCCGTAACACGGACATTATCAGCGCACTCGTCGATGTAGATCTGATAGAGGGCCGATTGTTTCTGTGCCAATTCATTCTCCTCGCGGATATAAGCCAGAGCTTTGTCTTTCTTATCCACCAAGGCTGCCTTCTCCTTCTCCACGTGCTGAACACGGTTGTTCTTCTCCACGCATACATCATTGAGACCTTCAAGCTCGGTTGCCGCTTCATCGATAGGTGTCTTGTACTTAGAAGTTCCAATGATATCTTCCAAGTATTCCAAGAGGCCTTCGTCGTGTTCGTTGGAGGCTTTGGGCTTCATCTGAGCGATTGATTCGACTTCACCCTGCAAAATCAGGAATCGCTTGTGATCGAGATCAATTCCGCGATCACGGAGGAAGGTCGTCACAGCGGTGAAATTGGTCTCCTTTCTGTTCATGTAGTATTTGCTGGTGTTATTCTTGAATGCTCGTCGCGAAACAACTAGTTGGGAATCTGGGACCACTTCCTGGCCACCTTCGGGCAAATCGAGGACTTGTGAGAAATAAACCTCGACTTCACAAAATGCAAGGTTAGGGTACTGCGCAGAATTATGGATCAGCGCAGAGATTTTGCCCTGTCGCATCTTGCTGGCTCGGAAGCCAAACACGAATAGGAGCGAGTCAATCACGTTCGACTTTCCGGACCCGTTTGGTCCGACGACAGACGAAAAGGAGGCGTGGAATGGACCAACAATCTGCTGGCCGGCATAACTCTTGAAGTTTGTCAGAATAAGGTTCTCAATAATCATTCGGGGCTTGGGCGCCGCAGGCTCCTCCGGCGCTTGAGGGGCCTGCGTTCTGGACTTGGCCACAATGTCCATAGGCCTCTCCAAGACTGTCGAATTCGGGTTTATGATGGAAATCTGAGATTTGGGCTCCTCCAGTTGTTTCGATGGTGACTGGTTCACGGCGGATTCGGTGATGTCGGACAAAGGTGGCACGCTTGCACGGTGCGCTCTTTCTTGAGGCTCTGGCGATTGGGAAGGCTCTGGAGTTGGAAGTGAGCCCTGTGCCGGCTTGGGTGTAATTGAGCCGTGACTCTTGCGGGGATGAGCCATACTTTTTCTTTTCAACGCCGCTTTACTGGAAGGAGATTCAGGATCGCCTTCCATTGACGCCATACTAACACCCTCCACATTTTCGTCATTTTCTTCGTCGATGTCCATCGCATCGGTGTCCATCGCGTCGGTATCCATTCCATCGGTGTCCATCGCATCGGAATCATCTGTTGTCGCTTCTTGGGTCTTGCTGGCAGCGCGCACAGTAGAAGGTGTCACAGGGTCTAGTGTCATTCTTTTACTCGATGCCCTCTTTGCTTTCTTGGGGACTGGGGTGTAATCCTCCTCCACCTCGTCATCGTCATCGTGCGCATCGGGCGTTGGTGTCACATTTCCGGGGTCCTCTGATTCAGATGTATCCTCAACGACGTAACTCCGGCGGGGAGCAGAGCGGCGCGAAGCCCTGCCCTTTATGACTGAAGCCATGTTTTGCAGATTAGTGGGATGTCTGCTGCATGGAGAGGGGCAATAGTGTTTTGACGGAGGTTTTGTCGGTTCAAAGTGGGTTGTTTACCTCGTGCCCAAACGGGTAAAGTGTCCGCTGTTCTGCCACAACAAGCCCTTCACCGCCACGTCCCGCTGTAATTTACCGTACGGTAATTACTCCTCCGCGGAGCTTTATGGAGATCAGCTTGGGAATTGTTCATTCACACAACCTATCACTTCTTTACGCCCACCATGGCTCCATGGGAGAGTTTCGACCAAGTCTTCTCATTTAATAAGAAATATTCATATGAACCAAAGGTTTTTGACCAGATTCTATCCAGCCGGCGCTCGTTGGACCAGCTCTTTGCCGATCGACTCTTAGGACTTCTCGGCATCCAAGGAGGTAATACGACTTGAAGCTCTGCGCTTGAAGCCTGGTGCTAACCAATCACTTCTGTATAGTGACCAAGATTTACCCGCCGAAGTCCAATTCAGATCTTCGAACACTGTTCAACCACATCGTTTCTTCAGAACTCGATATCCATCACAAACAATCCTTGATATATTACATCCTCAAGGACTGTCGCACTGCACCAGAAGCTTCATCTCAGTTTGCGCAACAATGCCACCTCCCAGAAAAGTACCGTTTCTTCATTGAAGGTCTTTGGCATTTGGACCGACTCGATTTTAGGGTGAGTTGTGGACTATCTTTACGGCGGCCATCGTCTGACAACTACATGATATAATAGCGAGCAGTGGAGTTTCTTGCCGAACCCTCGCTCATTCCTACCTTCCCGGATGAGATCCTCTACGTTCTTACCCTCACAAAGCTTCCCAAGCACGATGACAGCCTCGCAATCGCATACTACCTCACTGCGGCCCCTCCTCTCGCAAGCGCAACGATCCGCAAATCTTTCTTCGACACACTCGCCCGATCCAACGTCACGGAGGCATTCTACTTCACGCGCAAGTACGATGACGCTCTCCGTCAGAGCTTTTTTGAACAGTTGGTGGAATTTGTTCACAGGGCCACCCCTGGCCAATCCAGAAGCAGACGTGCGATGGAACTCGTTGGTCTCCCGCTTGACGAGGATGAGGAAAAGTGGTTTGAGCATGTCTTACTGCAGGGCAATGCCAGTACCCTTCCTGGAGCTAAGGATACTGTTATGATGCGACGCCTTGCAACTGGGCGAACTGGTGAACTTATCCCAGAGCTTGAATCACTGGGTGGCAAGAAGATCGATGGGTTGAATTGGGATGACCTTCGGGGGAGCATACGACACACGTAGATGATATACCCAACCAGTAATCTATGCTGGATTCAACATTTATTGATTACTCAAAACTGAAATAGCAATCAAAGTTAATGGCTTTAATGTTTCAAATGATTTTAAAAGTTTCCTGTTATTTTGTCAAAAACATCGACGACTAAGTGTTTCTTGTATCGATATATATATCCCTTTATTGACTAGATTCCACCCACTATATAGGCTGAAATGGATAAATAAACCTCCAAGCCCCAAACCCCTTTTAATCTCATCTCGAGACAAAGGCTAAAGTAATAAAAATCCAATCTCATACTCTTCAATACTAAAGAAGCGTGCTATACAGGAGTGCTGGGATTGCTCTCCAGGCGTTCCGATAAGATACGGACCAATTCCGTGAAAAGTCCCAACCACAGGAGGTCGATGTTTCTCTCTTCGCGACAACCAACCCTATTCTTGCTTTTCTCTCAAATTGCTTGACCATATATCGAAGGTCACATATTCATTTGAGAAAGGTCGTTAAAAGGTACATACCTTGCTTTGAAGGAGAGCAGTTGAGCAAACATCAAAACCGCGAAGATGGTGGTATGCAGCTTTTTTCAGCAGGGTCGCTGCAAGTTCGGAGGTATGAATCCCTCGAGTATAGAGAAATCAAATCGCTAATATATTTTCAGATCGCTGCAAGTTCGAACATCCTGGGAAACCCACTACTGGCCCATCGGGGAATCGATTCGGTGCTTTATCCGGAGGGTTTGGAGGTACGTTCAATTGAATTATTTTGATTCAGCCAAGGTCGATGTGCAGTGCCCATTTATCGGATTTATATTGTATTGTGATATTAAACGTTCTATCTCTATGTTCATTTGTCCCCCCAATCTCTTTCTCTTTCTCCTGCTCCTACACTCCTACCCATCCTGGTTTTGCCCCAACCTACATCAAATATCGAGGCGCAAGAGATATTTCCCTGTGCAAAACTATGATCAATCCTGCAAACCTCGCGCCCTCTCGGGCTAGCCTTTTTTTCAAAGCCTAATGGCAAGTTTACGACAGGTCAGAACCAGCCTCAACATCCAGCCGAGTAAGTCACATTCCTAGCGCCCTGAGTGGATTCCAAACTGACCAAAAGACAGTGCAGCAGTGAAGGCAAGTGAAATCAAGTCAGACTTGACTGCTGGCCAGGGTCTTCCGGAATGGATCTTTTCCGCATACGCGCCGCACAAAGATGTTGCGCGCCAGCTGTTCGGTGGAGCTCACCGCGAGCGCAGCATGGAAGAGATGCGCCTGCGCCATTATGAATTAGCAGCAGCCGGCAACCTGAACCAAGCAGTCCAAGAAGCCTCGGCCCTGTGGCAAGAGTGCGTCCAGCAGATGGAGATCTCACTGAATGACCTAAATGGTGCCGTCAAATATGTCGTTGATGGCAGGAATGAACATCCTAATCGACAGGATATCATCGAGGGCAAGACCGAGACTAGTATGGACCAAGCTCCAGCACCATTTGGTCAACCCTCTCCATTTGGCCAGCAAAATGTTGCCCCTGCACCCAACGCCGGTCCTGCACCCGGGGCGTTCGGCGTTCCTTCCTCGACCTTTGGTCAGGCTTCAGGACTCGGTCAGTCAGGCGGATTCGGTAGGGCTTCAGCACCAGCGCAGCCGTCCGGCATGGGCCAGTCTACGGCATTCGGGCAGACTTCTGCCCTGGGTGGCTCCGCCTTCGGCCAAACTTCCACCCTAGGAGGACAGTCTGCCTTTAACAAAACACCTTTCGGCCAGCCAGCTATTTCCCAGCCAGGAGTTAACCCAAGCCCATTCGGTCAGCCGTCAGTCCCAGGAGGTGCTGCCCCATTCGGTGCTCCATCTGCCGCTTCTCCCTTTACCCAACTAGCCCAGAACCAGCCTGCTGCTGGCGGGTTTGGTCAGAGCGCTGGACAACCTGCTCCATCGCCTTTCGGCCAAACCGCTGCACAACCTGGCCCGTCACCATTTGGCCAGCCAGCTGTCAATCCAAGCCCATTCGGCCAGCCCTCAGCCCCAGTAGGTGCTGCACCGTTCGGTCAACCCTCAGCCCCGGTTGGCGCCTCACCATTCGGTCAGCCTTCAGCTCCCGCAGGCGCCGCTCCATTCGGTGCTCCGTCTACCGCTTCTCCCTTCACCCAAGTGTCTCAGAACCAGCCTGCCGCCGGTGGGTTTGGCCAACCTGCTGCGCAACCTGCTGCGCAACCTACTCCTTCTCCCTTCGGCCAGCCTGCAGTCCAAGGCGTGCCGGTACAGAATACCAACGCCGGCCCACGTGCATACATCAAAATCGACAATCCTCAAGACCTCAACCCGCTTCCACAACTGGAGGGTGAAACTCGACATAACCCATCCACCAAACAGCTAGTGATGTGGAAGGGTCGCCCCGTCAAGTACATCAACGAGCACCCGTGCTACCTTCACCCACAAGACAACAAAACCTTTGTCCGAGTCAACTTTCCTAACGGGCCACCTGACCCCGCTAGTCTGAAAGATGCACATGGCAAGCCCGAGGAGTACACACCAGAAATCGTTGAGGCATATCAGTTTTTCCTTCAAAATGGCTACTTCAAGGACGGCAACATTCCTGCAGCACCTCCCAAGCAGGAGTGGCTCAGTTTCGACTTTTAAGCCCCGACACTGAGAGCATTTCTTTGTCTTCTTCTTCTTGTTTGTTATTTTATCGCGTCTCCTGGGTTGAGATGACGTGCATATTGTTTTCATTCTGTCACAACAAGCAACATGTTCCGGGCGCGCGGAACATGGGGAATGGCGCTTAGGAGCTTAACGATACTCAATTTATGAATGTAGCAATTGCAAGTGCATTACTTTCACTTTTAATATGAACCAAACTACGCTAGAGAGAATATTTTGTTTCAAGATGTTTCCATTTTTTATTTTTTAAATTTTCAGGTCCGAACGGAATCCCCCGCAGCGCGAAACATGACATGCGGGCCAGAACCAGCTCCAAAGTCGTGCCGTGCACTCCAAATCGGCCAGTCCATGATCCCTCCCTGAGGTAAGCCCAGCCTAGCGCATTTATGCGGCAATGGTGACCTCAACCTCAACACCGGCCTCGATGTTGATGATGATCTGCTTAACAGTCTCGGTGGGGGCGAGGAGACTAGAATATAATGTTAGCAACTGCATCTATTAGGTGCTACGGCAATGGTGCCGCAACTCAATAGGGCGGGGAAAAACTCACTCGATGAGACGCTTGTGGATGCGCATCTCGAACTTGTCCCAAGTCTTGGAACCCTCACCGTTGGGGGTCTTACGGGTGGAGATCTGGAGGGTCTTGGTGGGCAGACGGACGGGGCCCTTGACCTGGAGGGACTTGGAGCGAGCACGGTCGATCAGCTCCTGGCAGACCTTCTCGAGGGAGGCAACCTTGCGGGAGGTGAGGGTGATGCGGATCTTGTGGACCTTCTGTATAGCGGAGGAGAAGCAATTAGTACTTGATTTGCATTGGCGAGGTCCATTGACACATTGCACGAAGCGACAGCGACAGCGAGGTGCAATAACTATGTGCGACAGTGACCATTTGGATCAGGGATAACGTACGGGGCCCTCGCCGAACTCCTTCTCGGGCTTCTGGAAAGACATCTTGAATATGTATGGACTGAAACGGGTTAGTAATTCGATTCGGGAATTTCAAGAGCAGAAAAAAGGGAGCGCGCACAATTTAAAAGGCGATTGCCGTCAAGACCTGAACTACTAGGCTCGGTAAAGTGATGATGGCTGTTGAGGTTATGTGGATCGAGAATTCCATATCCAAAAAGTTCAGTGCGAAAGTCTTGGCGCTTCGGCTATCGCACGCTAAACCCCTTTAGGTCCCCTTCGATTGCTTGCTTATGTCATCACTCAAAGAGGACATGAGACCGCCAAGTGATGGCATTCGAGATGATAATCATGAGCTGAGAGGCGGTTGCGTGTTTTTTCTTTTGTTCTTGCTTTTCTCTCGTTTCATATACTTCCCATATCCCCAGTCATAACCACCTTAGTTTACCTCAATGGCGGAGTTCCCGCCACTGGCTCCAGTGCCCTCCCCCGCAGTGCGGAGGACAATCCCATCAAATGACTGGGAAGCTTGTCTAGATGCATGGATGGCCCTGTTGGGGATCCGCCTGAATGCGTCAGATCAGCAGTTTAAGGCTGCAGCTGCTGAAGATACATCAACACCGTCATTCTTGGCATCTTACTATCAATACACGACTGCGGGGGATTCCAGTCTACAAAGTGGACCTAAAGCTCGACAGCTTCGGAAGTTCTGTTTTCTGACGATAAGAAGATATATACTCGATCTCTCCAACCCACCAGACGGAACTCTGGACTGGAGACTTCTCGGCAATCTATGTTGCTGTTACCCTTCTAGCGCGGCCTTGAAGACGTCATTATCAAGTGCCTGGGATCTGCACCAGGGCAAGATCACTTCCAGCATCGAGAGAGCAAAAGCCATTGTGATTAAGAACCTCTCTTCGGCCAACTCGTCCTCAAATCCTGAAGTCATTTCTGACATCCGCCGTCTGACAATCCTTGCTTCAGTGCTGCCAGCGTGTGGCCAGGAGCTCATGGCCGGGTCCGACTTCCTGGATACGATAGCGGACGCCTACCAGTCAAAAGGTGCCCGGGAAGAGTTTCGTAAGATTCTAGTTGCTAATATCTACGTCGGGCTCGTCTCCTTATTGAAGGAGCCCGTCAATTTGTCCTCGTTATTGGATCAGCTGTTCAGCCTCAAAGCCGCTGCTCGAGTGGGAGCGCCGAAAATGAAGAAGGAAGCGACTCTACTTTCGGATCTTATCTGCAGCTCGGACTTGCTTATTCGGCTGGAGAAGTACCTGAGCATTCACCCCCAGAAACGGGGGCAAGACCTCCTTGCCAGCTTGCGCACCTATCAAGTGGAATCGAAGTCACTACACCATCGGTATCAGAGACGCAAGAAAGTGGACAAGGGAAAAGAGGTATCTTCGGATCCTATCGTTTCAGGAGAACTTCACGCACACAAAATGTCACTAGTCACTCAAGTGCAAGATCTTTTTCCCGACCTTGGCTCAGCCTTTGTTGTACGGCTACTGGACTTCTATAACGACAACCCCGAGACTATCGTCGCCCACCTTCTCGATGACTCGCTTCCTCTGGAGCTTCAGTCTCTAGATCGATCCGAGCAACTGCCTCCCCCAGCAGAACCTCAGCATAGCCATCTCCCACCCCAGCCAACACCACCCACCATGCCATCACCTACGTTCGCACCACTCCCTGCCCGAAAAAATATCTTTGACAAAGATGTTGACATCGCCGAACTAAGCCGGTCCGGCGAAGCTCAAGGCAAACTACACTTCGGTCGTGCCGGCGCAGACCAAACAGCCGACACAATTCTCGCAGACCACAGCAAACACGCTGCAAACAAAGCAGCAATTCTCTCCGCCCTAGCAACCTTTGACTCAGACGACGACGAGCGCGACGACACCTACGACACAGCAGATGTAGGCGGCGCCATTGACGGAGCCACAGGTGGCGCAGACGGCGAAGCCGACCCAGCCGAGCGCAACCGCCGGGCAGCAGATATCGAAACGACCCTCTTCCGAACATACAAATCCAACCCAGGACTCTTCGCCCGCGACTCCGCGACCCGCCGCTCTCAACCGCGCGCGTCATTGAAGCGCGAGACCGAAATGACCGACGAGGCCATCGAGGGTTGGGCTGTCATGCTAACGCGTGATCCCAAGCGTCTCGCTAAACTCGAAGACCGGCTGGCTATGGACGCTGGCGGGTCGCCTGGTGCTGGGTCACTTAACCAACCTGAGTTGCGTTCTACGTCTTACAGGAGGCCGCAGCCTCGTGAGGATGGGGAGGATGGTTCTGATGAGGGCGAGTCCTCTGGTCATCCTGGTTCGCGGGGTAGAGGAGGTGGTGGACGTGGTGGTCGAGGACGGGGTGGCGGCGGTCGCGGTCGTGGTGGTCGTGGTGGTGGTCCTCCGTCTGGCGGCCAGGGGCAGCCGGATAAGGATAGTGCGGCGTCGCGACAGAGGAAGGAAGAGAACAAGGGTAGTCGGGCAAACCACAACCGTCGGCAACAGCACGCGAAGAAGATGGCGCGTGGCGGTGGGTTGCCTGGTTAAGCATACAAAGGGACCAAGTTGGTTTATATGCAATGCGGCATAGAAGCTCTGGCTATTCTTTATTTCTGATATCTGATAATGATCATGGATGTAATTTACATAAAATTTGGTGGGCTTGTATGACAAGAGCCGCGACGCATTGAAACAGAACGCATTCAAGTGATTCATTAATATACCTCAACACATGTCTAATGCGGTATAGGCAGTCGTGATAACATGTTTACACAGTAGACTCGTACTTGGCCAGCAAGGAACTGGCACTTTATATCAGTGGTGGTGATCTGAGAAGACTCCACCCTCGGCAATGGACTTGCGGCACTCCTCCATTAGGCGGACCTGTTTCGCGACTTCACCAAGCCGGCTGATAACCTCCTTGTTACCATCATAGAAGGTAAAGATGGCGTAAGGGATCCCAGTATCGCGGCAGAACTCTATGACGAACTTCTGCGTACGACGCAGGTTGTGACGCGGGATCCGCGGGTAGAGATGGTGAATGGCCTGGAATTGCAAGCCACCGTGGAAGAAATCCAGCCATGTCGGGCAGTCGACGTCCATAGTGGTACGAAGCATCTTCTGCGCGAAGGACTCACCGACACCCAGGTCAGCGGTCGACATAGCGAAGTGGGATAAAGTGATTTGGACGTGTAGTGGGGAGGAGACGACGTGTGAGACGAGGAGGAAGATGATACGGCTGCTTGCATCGGGAAGTGTCTTGTACATCACACCGTAGCCAAACCAGGTCCAAAAGAAGACCTGTCCGACAAGCTCAAACCACACATGCCACCAGGCGGGGCCTTTTCTAGGAGCTTGTCCCTTTAGCAGATACTCCCAACTCAAGGCGTAGAGATTGAACCGAGCGAGCATCATAATAGGGTAGTAGGAGTAATTCTGGAATTTGAGTAAAAATCGAGCCGGGGCGTCGAAGGTCATGATTCGATCGTAATAGGTACTCCGGAGACTCGTGAGGAAGCGATGCGAGATAGCGAAGAATGGGATATGCTCGATATCCGGGTCATGCTCTGGCTCATTGGTCACGATGTGGTGAACGTTGTGACTACGTTTCCACCACCCGAGACTCAATCCTCCGAGATAGTCTGCGATAAAGATTCCAATGAGAGTATCCACGTGGAAATTGTGTGTAATGCCCATATGACCAGCATCATGGGCGGTAAAAACAAGCTGATGCCAGAAACAGCCGAGGAAAAATGCCGAGGTCGCCCACCATCCCATGCGGAGGAACATATAGGAAAGACCTGCAAACAGTGTGTACCGACAGCATTCAACGAAGTAACAAGAGTAGTTGCAGTCATAAAGTCCCTCGGCCTTGATACGCTCGTTCAGTTCGCGATATTTCCGTTTGATCTCTTCCTGACTTGCGGTATCCAAGGAGGGGTATTTGGCAGTATCGAAGACAATCTCTTCCCGTGTTCTCGCATCCAAGAAGGCGGGCTTGGCCTGGGTTTGGTCGGCCAAAGCGGTTCCGGTCGGTTTCCGTTGACGAACTGTGGATTT